GCGGTGTCCATGGGTGTTGTTTCTGTGGAGGGGATTGGTGGGGGCAGGGAATTAGCATCTGCCTCTGTATCTGCTGGATTTGAAGTTCGCAGTGTGCCGGTCATTGCGGCTTGCGATTGTGATTTCGACTGGGAGGAGGAAGGGCGGGCTGTGTAGCGGGGGTATCGTAAGAGATGGGGGGAGAGACGGCTTGCATAGTTGTGAATCTGGAAGAGTTAATAGGGTGTTTCTCTTCTATCGTTGGTCTCTTGGTATCTGGTTTGCGAGCTGAGGTTTGGTCGACTCCGCTCCACGCTGGGGTCCGTGGTATAGTTGCACTAGGCCACAATACCCCGTGTATAATGAAAAGGACAATATAGGATTTCTCACCTCTTTAACCACTGTGTTATGGTCTCTAAGATCCGGGCTCGGTGCCCAGTTCCCCGAACTTGGCGGTGGTCGGCGGGGTGGATTGGAGGTCAGATAGGCCAGGACCTCGACATTGGTCAGGACGGCGGTTTGAGGGTCAATGATCTAGATGATTTTGTTAGGAGTATTCCTGAGCTTCGACTAGAATATATCTTACCCTCATTTTGTGTGTGGAATGTGGAAAGATAGACTGGAGCAAATAGGTGACTGGACTGGAGAAAGGAAAATTGTTTGAACTGCCGGCAGAAATTAGGCGGTGTCTTTATCTACCTGCATATCTAGGCCAAATCGGGAATTGTAGAGGCAAAGCAACGGAGATGAGGCTTGAGATGAGGCTTGAAAGGAGGATTTTATGGACATTTGAGACTACAATATGCGAAGCATGACTACAACTTCATAATCCAGTACTGAAGTATGAACAGATTATTCCAGCTAAAACTGTACTGCCTTGTTCCTAACGAGCACCCTCTGCGCCAGTGAAAGACCGGAGATCAACCTAAAATGCCCCAAAACATGCGAGCGACAGGAAGATTGCAACAAAAAAAAACAGAAATGAAAAAAGGTGTGATATCATACAGATCCCAGGAAAGCCATCCGGTCACATTGCACAAACTTTTGAAAACATACGCTTACTCTCCCTTGGACTTCTTCTTCTTCTTCTTCTCGTCCTCGTCCTCGGAACGCTTGCGCTTCTTTCCATCGTCCTTGCTGGCCTTCTTGGAATCCTTCTTGGACTTCTTCAGGTCCTTCTTGCTGACTGAGGTGGGGTTGCCTTCTTTATCGAAGGTGATCTCGCCACGCTCGAGCTTCCGCTCGTATCGCTTAACGCTGAGACCAGCCTTAGCAGCCAATGCCTCAATGTCGGTCTTCTTGGACTTGGACTTCTTGGGAGCCTCATCCTCGGACTCATCAGAATCCTCAGCCTCCTCATCAGAGTCAGCATCGGCCATCTCCTCATCCTCAACCTCCTCAACAAGCTTCTTCTGCTTCTTATCCTTCTGGGCGGTAGCAGGCTCCTCAGAGGCCAGGGCATCGGCATCGGGGTTGTACTTGCGGGCTTCCTTCAGGTCGAACTTCTCGGCGGCACCGCTAGGGGCAATGGCAACACCACGGGGCTTAATGGGCTTGCCCTCCATACCGGCAAGCTTGCGCTCAAGGTTGAAGCGAGCCTCGGTACCAAGAGCGGCCTTGTCCTCCTCGGTGGCATCGTCGCTCCACTCGGCGAGGGAGTCGACACGGATACCCAGAGAGGCCTTGGCGGCGAGGATACGGGCCATCTTACCCTTGTTGCGGCCAGTGGCCTGGCCGATCAAAGAAGCGTGGTAGATCAGACCGTACTTGGGAGTATCGTGCTTAGTCTTGAGGGCACGGAAAAGGGCCTTCTCGGCACCCAGAATCTGGATGGTACTGGCGGGGCTCTTAGACAAGCTGGTAAGGCTGCCAGCGTGGGCAATCAGGCGGGCACCAACGAGATCACCGACAAGGGCAGTGAGGTTGGGTGCAATGGCGTTCATGCGGGAAGTGAGGTAGCTAGCAAGCTGGGCGCGGTACTCGTAGAAACCAACGACCTGCTCAGCGAGAGCCTGAATGTTCTCCAGATCATCCTCGCTGATCTCGGTACCCATGGAGCGATCGGCAGCAGCCTTAACAGCACCCTCAATCTCCTCAGGGAGAATCTCAGCAAGATCGGCGGACTCCCAGTTGGAGCGCATACCCATCTTCAGAACGAGCTTGGCGTAGGCAATGTTGTCATTGAGGATCTTAGCCAGCTCGGGGAAGTGCCATCCGTACCATTCCTTCACACGCATAGCGTAGGTGTTCAACTCCTTGTCAAGATCATCGAGCAGACTGATGGCCTGGACGATCATAGTGTCGATCTTGTCGGGGGAGAACTTGAGCTTGTGACGGGCGAGAGAGTGGGACAGACCAAGAGACATGGTGGACATATCACTGGGGGCAAGGCCGGGAATGAGGGTGGTGAGGTGCTCACGGATGGCACGGAAGATGTCGTTGGTGCTGGAGTCAGCAATCAACTGGATGTCAAGACCGGGAAGCTTGCTGATGGAGTTTCCTATTCACAGCCACAGTCAGCACACATGATTGTGGGAAGAGATTTTAATCGATTGACCTACCGAGCTTGGTATCGGCAACGGCGAGGGAGACCTTCTTCTCATCCTTAATTCCGTCAAGAAGCGAGGCCAGGGCGGGGGTGACCTTGCCCTCCATGATGGAGGCAGCCTCCTCCAAAGCTGAGGCAGCACTGTCGAACTTCTGGAAACTCTTCAGCTTGAGACTAGAGGGTCCGTTAGTGACATTGTCCTCGATAACGATTTTTTTGCGCCTCTTCAGCGAGTCCGTTCATTCCCACTCAAATTTTTATTTGACGGAATTGGAAGACACAATCGACGTACAGGTTGGAAACACCCTCGGCGGTGGAAGCCTCCTCGGCGATATCATCACGCTTGAGGAGCTTCTTGTCCTTGGCCTTCAGCAGGGCATAGCCCGCGCTGGTCTCAGTAAGGATGAAAAGCGTCATGGTGCGCAGCCACGGCGTTTAGGATCGAAAAAATAACAGGAAAGAAATGATCTAATCAAAGCGAACGAGAAACCGAACTGAGGAAATGGTGGAAAAAATAATTAGCGTAGGGCGTCGGCCACCGGTGTCGTTGGAGAAATTGAATCTAAATTTGCACGGAAGAAAAAAAGTTGAAAAGCGGGTGCCACGAGTGGCTTAGCCGTGTGGCTAGTGCATGACTAAGCTATATGCGTGTTCAAGGACGGATGGAGCTACAGCTGTGTCTCTCCAATCATCTTCTCCACATTCACCATGGAGGGCCTATTCTTTAATGTTAACGGCGGGTATGTGGTCTACTGTCTTTGCTTGGTCCGAATAGCCCGTTGTTGACTCTCTTAGATATGTCGAGGGCATTGTTCGCGGCTATCGGAACAGCCTGTTGACCAGCCAGAACTATTCCAACCTCACTCAATGTGAGACAATTGATGGTACGTTTTATTGATCCCCCTAACTCTGTTGTAGTCTCTATTGCTGCATATTGATTCTGACCGTCACATCCAATAGATGTCAAGCTCCAGCTTGCTCCCTCATATGGCGATTTCCTTGCCTCTCTTCCCCCCAACCCCTCCACCTCCGATCTGGCAAGCCGGATGACCGATAAACTGGTGTCTGAATTCAAGTACCTTATCGCACAGGCGACAGGCTCATCTGCCAGGTTCCTCGAATACATGACATACGGATACATGATCGATAACATTGCCCTGTTGATCACAGGCACTCTGCATGAACGAGACACCCGGGAACTTTTGGAGCGATGCCACCCACTAGGATGGTTTGAGACACTTCCTGTGCTGTGCGTGGCGACAAATATCGAGGAACTGTACAACTCGGTACTGATCGAGACCCCACTGGCCGCCTACTTCAAGGGCAGCCTTAGCCACCAAGACTTGGACGAGCTGAACATCGAGATCGTTCGCAACACCCTCTACAAGAACTACTTGGAGGACTTCTACAATTTCATCAACACCCACCCCGACTTCAGCGGGACACCAACACAAGATGTCATGGCGGAGATTCTGCAGTTCGAGGCGGACCGTCGTGCAATCAATATTACTCTCAACTCCTTTGGCACCGAGCTGTCCAAGCTCGAGCGGAGGAAATTGTACCCGGAGTTCGGTAATCTGTACCCCGAAGGCAGTCTCATGCTTTCCCGCGCGGAGGATGTCGAGGGTGTGGCCTTAGCTGTAAGCGCTGTGGCCGATTACAAGACGTTCTTTGATGCCGTGGGTCTAAGCCAAGGCGGCGGCGGTCTCGGTGGTATGGGTGGAGGTCCGGCAGATGGGAAGAGTTTAGAGGATCTTTTCTACCAAAAGGAGATGGATCTGTCAAAGCTGGTTTTCACCCGTCAATTCACTCCGGCTGTGGTGTATGCCTGGATGAAGTTGAAGGAGCAGGTAAGCATCTCACAACCACCTATCTATTCTCATACTAATACCGCCTAGGAAATCCGAAACGTTACCTGGATCTCGGAATGCATTGCTCAGAACCAGAAAGAGAGAATCGGAAACTTCATCTCCGTTTTCTAAGCTCGACTCTGGCCCTCTATGATCTGTTTTCCCACCTCTTTGTACTTACCCATCTTCCTGGCTGGTATTTTGCTTTGGTTGCCAGCCGCTTTTCGTTGTATCGAGTACCCAGTTTGTTCTTTAATGTGAGCGCATCGACCTCTTTTTCCTTGATCGGGACAATCTGGTCATCTTTGATTTCGGCTGTGTTCCTTTTTTTTTTCTCGTATGAGGCGTTTGGCATGTTCGTGACCTTATCCTTGCATAGAAGGACAAAATACAGATATTTATTTTGTTATAGAGACTTTCCTATTTGAGCTGCTTTTCGCAAAGTGTGGCTCAAGGGTAAATGTCAGCACGATCGTGTGTAGAATACAGCATGGGGATACTATGCTTACACTCCCCGTACATCTACATCGAACAATTAAGACTGTAGACCCCCGGCCAAGCTAATAACCAATTCTATGTGTATATAAAAGTGTGCATAGTGACGGATCGTGAACTAAGGTTCCTTAGGCTTTTACAATCCCCACAACCTCCCCCAAAGAATCAACCACAAAATCCGGCTTCAACTCCTCACAAGCCTTCTGGTCTCCGTACCCATACTGACACCAGCAGACCTTGCTTTTAATATTCCTTGCGAACTGAATATCCGCCACCGTATCACCCACCACCAACACCCTCTCCGAGTCAACCTCCTCCATCCCATATCTCTCCCTCAAGACAGGAATCAGAACATCCACAAAGCTAGCAGGATCCGGCTTGCGCTTTGCCCCGGGGGTCTTATCGCCGATGATTAAATCTTCGGGCACGTAGCCATCCAGATCATTCCGCTCCAGCGCCGTTTTCACAGCGGCTACACCCTTGTTACTCACAATGGCGATGGGGATCTTGTGGGCATTGAGTTCGGTCAAGAGATCCTTGGCGCCGGGAAAGGCTTTGATGAGTAATTGGCCGTGAATGGCATAGAGAGCGCGGTATTTTTCAATCCATTCGTTCTCAGCGGTCGAAGTGAATTCGGCCGGGGTGGGATGTAGGGCTTTGAAGGTATCCGCTAGGCCGGCTCCGCTGGCGATCAGACGGTGGATTTCGGATTGGGGAGGGCTGTGCGTAGGAAGGAGGGCATCGAAGGTGAGTTTGATGGTTTGGGAGATGGATTCATGTGTATCGAAGAGGGTGCCGTCGAAGTCGAAGATTGCGAGGGCTATCATTTTGATGAGGGTGTTTAGAGTAAAATGGTTGGTATGAAGTTGGATATAACAGTTTAAAGAAGCTGGAGTACTTAACCTAGTGAACTACCCTAGAAAGATCTGCGTAATGGATTAGAATACTCTACTCCGTACCAAGTCAGGGATTCTGCAGTAGCGTAGTTACGTGGCTCATGCAGCTAATGTGATGTTACATTGAGATAGTGTAGATACGAACTACATGCGGGTTTATAATAATAATAATAATGACTTCTTGCCACAATGCAGGACCAAGTAATCTAGTCTTGCCTCTGCGGACTAGGTGTAAGATGCAATAAGATCTACCTGCCTACATAAAGCCTAGCACCTATATATACTAACAATCGCCTCCTCACGAAGTTAATATAACCATCTATACTTCAACTCATACACATTCTAGATCCCCCATTTTTTATATGCAAACAGAAGAAAAGATGGTTGTCCCAGCTCCCATCATCGAGCTCCCTCAAACCCCAACCCTCACCACTTTAATGGCCACCTTCTGCTCTCCTTCCTCCACTCCCAAGATCATGCAAGACACAATCCACGCCTTAACTCACGAGATTATTTCCGCAGCCAAGTCTAAAGACAAAACCCTCACCCAATCACCCACAACAATGATCCCCATTCTCCGTGGAGCCTTGCCCATGTTCGTGGCTGCACAGCCCCTCCTCCCCGCAACCTCGTGCATTCTAGCCCGCTGCAGTAAGACAAAAGGCACACAGGATGTGGTGGTGGACTGGCTAGGCCGACGACCGTTCCCGCCGGAGTCTGATGACGGGAAGATTGTGGTTCTCGATACGATCATTGCTACTGGTGATACAGTCGTCAAGCTTTGCGAGGAACTGTGGGAGATGAGTGGGGAGCAGCCAAGGTCGGTTGTAGTACTGTGTACGTATGCAGCGCCCGAAGCATTGGAAAGGGTAGCATGTTGTCCGGTGGTGGAGTATGTCGTTGTTGGAAGACGGGCTGAAAAGTGCGATGAGAGAGGGTATCTGGTTCCGTACACGAATGGGGATATAGGTGATAAGATCTACGGAGTGGGCAGTAAGAAAGCGAAGCCCGTTGTTGCGGAGGGAGAGGATGCAGAGAGTGTCTTGTCCGGGGTGCAGAGCTTACTGATTGAGAATGGGGGATTGTGGAAATTGACGGAGGATGGATTGGCCATTGAACGGGAGATTCAGTTCTCCGGATTTAAAGAGGCTTGGGTGAGTTTTATTACTGGATATTGGAATGTCCTCGCTGACTAGGAAACAACTCAAGGCCTTTATGGAACAGGTTGCAGATACAGCGGCTAAGCATCGCCATCATCCCGAATGGACAAATGTATGTCGCTTTGAGCTTTTTTTTTACGTTCGAATTGTCTTGCTGATGGTTATTGAAGGTTTATAACAAGGTCTCCATCCGTTGGACGACTCACCACCCGAAAGGTTTGACCAACCTGGATGTTGTCATGGCTCAGCTCTGTGATACCTACGTATAGAAATTCCCTATTTTATTCTTTGTCTGTATTTAGACCTTTTGTGTGATAGACAGTCCTGCAAGTGCCGCTCTCGCTGCAATGAAGAAGAATACACTTGCTACCATCATTGCACCCCCAAATACCTGTAATCCCCAGTAGGTCCCGTTTTGTCTGCTCAAGATTGCTCCCGCAATGGGACTTCCTGTGAGCGATGCAATACTGATGCAAGTAAATAAAACGCCCTGACGAACACCGATCTTGGTCACGTCGGACGAGATCTGGCCTAGTAAGGCGGGTACCATTCCCACAAAGGCACCCGATGCAAACCCATATAACATGCTAAATACAACATAGATGGCCGCATTTCCTGGAGAGAGGAGTGTTCCTGGAAGCCAGAGGGCTAGGATAACGGCGGCGGACAAGGCGCACATGGAAATCATGACGTTGAATCGGCCCAGTTTATCCCCTAGGTACCCTGGTAGAATTCGACCAGGGAGACTGCAGAATAGTTTAGCTTGGCCCTAGACTTCTCGCCAAGCCAAGATGTACTCACCTGGCGGCATTAAGTATAGTCAACAAGTACCCAGCTAGATCGCGGTTGATTCCATCATCCTGAGCCTCTAAAACGATATAGCTGATTGGCACAAACATGGCGAAGAATCCACAACAGGATGCCAGCATAAGCAAGACAAACGGTACCTCCGAAAGTGGACTCATATAATCACTCAGCTTCACTGGCCGGGGAACGTTCTGAATTCTCGATCGGACAGTCACGTTGGCAATTATCAGGAGTGCAAGGACGATGAATCCAGAAATACGCAGAGACCATCCGAACCCAATAGTAGGCAAGAGCCGAGACAGCAGGATTGGGAAGACAACACCGCCCAGTGACGAGCCGCTGGAAACGATTCCAAAAGCCAAGGCACGGCGTTTCTCGAACCATGTCGCGGTACAGGAAAGTGCGGACGAAAAGACGAAGCTTGCACCAAGGGGACTGCAGATTCCTTGGGCTAGCAGAAATTGATAGTACTCCGTCGATATGGAAGTCATCATAATACCAAAGACGTGAAGACATGTCCCAGCAAGAAGGAGCCACTTTGGGCCATAGTTATCGAATATCTGAAAGAAAAAAGATTAACATGTATACGTCCTAGGCTTGGTGGGGCGAAATTCACTCTTCCAGTGACAAGTCCAGCCGCAAAGAGTACAAATGGCTCCAAAGATAAAATCCAAGAGATGCTGGACGCTGAATAAGAATGTAATTGATTGTCCTGGTAGTACTCCTGAAAAATGCCAATGGCTAGGGTAAATCGTATTAGATTATCGGTTGGCATGGGAAATACGACAACTAGGGAGGAATCTCACCATTTACCCAGCCAAAAGCGCAAAATAGACAGCACCATGCTCCAAGCACGACTGTCCAAGCGCGAAGTCCATGATCCAACTTTCCCCGTTCAACTAGATCCTCCTCACTTCTAGAGACATCCACCGTGGTTTTCGATTCCATGGTTGCCATTTCTAGAGCAAATCCGGCTCTTGAGACGAGGTCTCGAGCAGAAAGGAGAGGAAAGATGATAGAAGATGAATTTTTCAAGGATAAAAACTATATCGGAGTTAAGGACCCCCTATCTACTTCCCTAGGAGCCTCCATGTGACTCAGATAATAATATCCCTAAGTACCAACACGAGGTGATGAAAAATCGGGATTCCAATGTTTTGTCGGTTGCATTACTACAGCAACGGATCATAGAAGCAAGGAGAAAGCTACATGCAATTCTTCTCTAACAAACTTCCTTTTGCCACAGACATGACTTGAAATTGGGTACACTTCCACGGTGAGACATGATTTCTCTCGAAATAAAAGAGGCTTGAAACTATGCCGGGATCAGCATCCTTCGACATTAAAATTACCGAGATTATCCATTTGCTTATAAATGCACTCTGGTACACCCGTGGACATGTACTCCTCTTTCTAAGTATTATCACTAGTATGAAGATATCGGTTCCAGATGACACTAAAACGTGGACATTGTAAGTACAGCAGAGTTACATCGCACGGAACCAACCTAACCAATTGAATAACAAGGATTCAAGTGTTTTCAGGTCTATACGGAGTACTCCGTACTCCATAATTAGATAAGACGGACGATCTATGATCTCTAATTTTACCTAACAGAAAGACGATGCATACAGAGTAGGCAGATGGTTGCCTCCCAAAAGGGCTACCTCGAGCTAAGAACTTGCCAGAATTGAATATATTCCTTTCTCAACAACAGATTGATAGACATACCTCCCCCGTAAATGACTTCCTTTAAGATAGATATCTACTATGTGGTATTTTGAATTGTTTTCGTGTTCCATAAAAAAAATAATGGTCCGAGTACAATAATGAATGGATTCACCCTATATTTTGTATATAATCCTTATGATGACATAGTACTCCAAAGAAAAACGGGGAGATCTACACGGAGCGGGTGATCTAGACTCATCTTGCCCTATTGTTTCAATCTTACGGGCATACCAATACCTACGTGCAGCTCAAACAAGCGAAGAATGCTACAGCATTGAAGGGATATGCCCATGCAGCTGGTCGCATCCCCTAAATTGTCCTGGTAGGCCAAATCGTGTGAAGTTTCAGGTCTGAAGAAGGATGGAGTGATGTAATTTTACCCCCAAATATAATATAAAAGTGCAAGCAATGAATATCAGTAATGCATTCCAGTAATTCCTGGCTTCGTCGGCTTTTGACACGCACAATGTATTCAATCATCTTGGTCCTGCAAAAGTTTCTAGGTGGATATTTCAAGCCCACGAGCGGTGGACAGCGACCTCAAAACAGAAAGGCACCACCCTGCTGTGTCTCCTTGGATACATCCCTGCATCCATTTGAAGATTTGCCTTCCACCTATGATCCCTCAACTTGGTGGTTAGATGGCCAGGTTTCTACGTATCCCCATTTCCAGGATGGAGAGACAATTCGATATCATGTGAAAGTCATCAAGCATACCCTCTTTCGGTATATTTTGGAAGGATGCAAACTCCTTTTGGAAAGAGCAGACAATCATTCGCTCCTTCCCTCAATGAACCAGCACGAGTTACTTTGGAAAGCAGCAATCTCCGTCCACAAATATGGGGTTTTGTATCTAGCCGCTCGCTGGGAGTGCCGAGAAGACTTCCTGCCAACGGTAGAATCCAACCATCATCTTTTTACAGAAATCGACCTCTTTCTCTCTTCCAATGACAATGCCATTCGTGCTATCAACTATGGTGTCCATCGACTGGTCAATAGTTCCATCTTCACTGTGGACTACCAGACAAGACTCATTCCTCCTACGGCCATATCAGCAATTGGCGTAAGCCACATTGCAGTCCGGGTACGGGATTTCGAGGGAGATAGTGTCCACATGCTAGACAATTCGTCTGCCATTTGGGACCTCCACGATTTCGCCCATCTTTCTGCCGCCTCGGTATCCCCTAGTCTATACGGCTCAAAATACTTCACGCATCTCATTAAGCTCCCATCCGAGCTGACGGCTTTGATCCGCAGCCCCAAAATGAAGACCGCGGACCCTACGCCTCGGTACTCGGATGGAGTTGTCTTCAGTGAGCTTCTCACCATCCTCTTCACATCCGAGATAGAGGCGGTGCAAAAATCGGAGAAGGTGCATACTTATGTATCCCTCACCGATACTTTGGCCAAATACGTTGCAGATTATCTCATGGGGAGGTGTGAGCTGCAGCATCAGACCACGGGTGAAATGCTGACAGTGAAAAATCCCATACGTGCTGTTGAGTTGGCAACCCTAGTGCAGAACAAAGCTTATGAACTGATGGCTAGCGAGATTGAACAGCGGGTGTTCACGAGAGGGGGTCCTGCCGGGGACTCTAGGGATGAACTGGACAGGTTGTCTGCGTTTGAGAAAATTGGATTCCTCGCGGGTTGTCGGAGATGGTTATATTTTGAAATGAGAAATACTATCAAGCACCGCGCCCACAGACTGGCTTATCAAAAGGTGGCTGAGCGCATGCTTGCACCGGAGAATAGGGTCTCGATCACAAGCAATGATTACGTGCTGCTGTCGGGGGTCCTGAAAAGCATTCACTATCAAGGCTGGGAGAGTGATAGAGCGGTAAATCTTTGGCAGATGATCAAAGACATCGAAGTCGATACGCACTGCTAGCTTTTGGACATCGGGTTATTCGTTGAAGTGAATATGTAATGAGATTCTACGATGTCTGCACAAAGGTCGTGATTAGATTTTTCCGGGGCATGGGACGGGCCGGGGATCCGCTGCGGATCCATGTAACATTGGGATGTTCTACCTCAACTACCCTGGGATGTCGAATAGGTCAAAGACAAACTATGACGGCCTGTTGAACTGATCATGAGACCATACCGAATAAACTCAACCCTCCCGTCATCAAGAGAATCAATCCGAGACCAGAGCCATGTCAAGACCGATGAGATACACCCTCCATTCCTGCTGTCAATGGCTCACAGGGCTCGTGGACATTGTACTCCCCGTCTCATTCTGATATACTTCAGTGCAGACAGGGGGATACAAGTTGGCCGTCACCTGGCCGTCACCTCCCTGGCCGCCTTTTTCACGGCCTCGATATTTGCTTGTGTCGCTGAGAATTCCCATGAGCTGTCCGGTGAGCCTACGGAAACTCAATTTCAAGCACGGTTAGAAGACCCAAATGATCCAGGCTGCAATATTTCCCAGGGAACGCATGCCTTCGATGACGTGACTCGAGCACCGCGGAGAAGAGATCGTTGCAAATTTTGCCCAGTGATGAACCAGGAATGCAGTTTACCTACCAATGTAATACATGGGTGCATACCATGCATTTGAAAATAAAGACACATGCTTCCGATGTATGATGGATTTAAAAATGAATGTAGTTTTTTGGTCATATGACTCGAGATCCACGAGCAAGTCAATCTTCCATGTAGACGACTACCTGCGTATGCTCCATTCTAGCTGCTCAAATTCCGCCAATTAGTAGTGCTGACGTGGATAATAGAAAAAGGTGCGCTCTTCAATGGTAGCCTACCCATGGTGACATGGGCCAAGGGAAGTATTGGTTAGTTTCTTTTCTGTGGGACCAATATAGGACCCGGGATACCAATACTGCCGGCAGTGACTTCACAGGGAGTATTGCTCTCCCGATTTTTCGGGAAAGAGAGTGGATGACTGCACTCTTGGGATGTTTAGGGGACCATGAACTCATGTACCTTGAATGCAATAGGTAACAGCAAAATAGAAGGGGGAAGGATTCGAGTACCGAATAGTATCCGGTATAGTATGCAAGGGTTGGGAATCGTGATCAATGAAGAACAGACCGACATGCATGGGCTTCAATATTGGAAAGTCTTACGTCTCCATGAAGTACACAGATCAGCCACATTGATAGTCTAGTCCAAGACCGGCGATTACATGCATGTCGAAAAAATGGAAATTTTCCAATTTCGATTCAACATTCATTGCTCATATGTGCAAATGGCAAATGGTGTGGCAGAGGTAGATAGTATGACAGGAAAATTCGAAACAAAAGTAGAAAAGCCAGCCAAAGCCAGATGAGAGCAAGCGATAGAAATCAAGAATACCAGAACAAATCCAGTGTACCAAGTCTACTGCGAGTCTGGATCTATGGCAAGGGGAATTGAGGTTGAGGGGGTTGTAGAGCAAACATGGAAATTTAGGATATCGGAGAAAAAGAAAAAGAAAAATCTAGACAGCGATCAATCATACTGGAAGAGAACGCTGATACTCTCACCGTGGTGCACACGGCGGATGGCCTGGGGTATAAGTTAGTATATTATGTGGAACGAACCGGACATATTAGACTTACCTCGCCGAAAACGTGGCCGACTTCTAGGACCTCCAGCTTGGGGCACCGGCGCAGGTGCTCAACCTGATCCACGCTGTTGGTCACAATGACCTTGTCAAGGGCACTAGCGTTGATGCGCTCGATAGCATCGCCACTCAAGATACCGTGAGTGACAAGGGCGTATACCTGTGAAGCACCTTCCTTCTTGAGAAGCTTGGCAGCACGGGTGATTGTATTCGAGGTGTCCGCCAGATCATCAATCAAAATGGTAATCCGATCACGGACATCACCAACCAACATCATGGTGGCATTCTGGCGGTCAGTGATCTTGGTGGGGCGGCGCTCCTGGGGGAATTGTTAGCGAAATCACAGGAAAATTCAAGCGCCTGATTAGCTTACCTTGTGGATCAGGGCAAACTCCATCCCCATTTGGTCAGCAATTGCCGTAGCGCGCTTGGCACCTCCGGCATCGGGGCTGACAATGACAGCCTGCTTGTAATTGGGGATGTTGCGCTGAATGTAGCTCTTCAAAAGAGGTCGGCCGTACAGGTTGTCGACCGGGATATCAAAGAATCCCTGGTATTGCGGGTCGTGCAAATCCATGGTAATGATGTGATCGGCACCGGCGCAGGTAAGCAGGTCTGCCACCAGGGTACCAGCCTGAGCAACCCACTGTTTGTAACCAGGACGAGGCTGGAAGGAGTTGATCTTGGAGGAGCTCGCTGTTTCATCGCTGGTGTTGGTCAAGGACTTGAGGGAATCCGCTGTGTCGCTGCGGGGCAGACCGTTGCCCCGCCGCTTCACGGGACTACCAGTGCTATCCTCGATCTGAGCTCTGGCAAGGCCCTTCTGGAGGCTTTCAATTCCATTCATGCCCAGACCTTCGGTTTTTCCACCAGGACCCGGGGTCGGAGGGGTGCTCTCGAATGTGTAGCCATTGGAGTGTTTTCCCCCAACAGATGACTTGACGAGAGGAGCGCCGGCCTTGTCATAAGGAATATCACTCTGGCGAGAGTAAGGGAAAAGAGGGAGGACAGCGGTGACTCGCCGGGCCGAGGCAGTCTTGCAGGCGGAAATGGTGATGAGAAGCTCTAGCAGGTGGTCGTTGACTTTTCCGCCGCCGGATTGGATAATGTAGACATCCTTTTCACGGACGGACTCTTGAATTTCAACTCGAGTCTCACCGACAGCGAATTTCGAGAGCAGAACCTCCGCGGGAGGAATGCCGAGAACACCGCAAATGCTCTCAGTCAACTGAGGGTGGGAGTTACCTCCGATGACGACAAGATTGCGAACCATATTGTCTGTATTTGTAGATATATCGGGTCGTCGGGGTTGGAAGTAGGAAGGATCAAGGAGAAGGACGCTCGATCTGAAGGAAATCAGGATCGGAGGGATTGAGTGGAGGGGGAAAATCTGGGGGCGATCTCAGTGAGCAGTCAAGTAAAAGATAAAGAGAAAAAAAAAATATGAGGGTTCTGGGAATTGAAAACAAATGCTACCTCATGGCGGAGCAAGAATCGAGACTTCGAGGGACAAAGGCATAAAAAAAAAACTGTCGCTGTGAGTCCCGCGATGGGAAAAAAGCCTCTCTGGAGTGGAGCGGACCTGTGGCTGATGCCTCAGGTGGCAAAATGACCCGCATTGGGTAAAGCGCATGTCGTAACGATGCAGGCCCCGCAAAAAAAGGCCTTTGAAATTGCTTCGGGGCAGACAGGAACGCAGTAAATGGTCAGCAGGTTTACTGCTTCGGATTTTCCATTTCCATATATATGATTTCTGCTCAAATCGCCAGTCGCTTTGGAAGAATAAAAAAAAAAGAGAAACATATTCATGCGTGACTCCTATGCTCCGGTTCCCGATATGTATGTACTAAGAAAGAAAGAAAAAACATAAAAGAGCTTGGCATAACTCTCCCGCCGAGTGCAGTCTCCGGGAATCCGTTCATTCGCCCGTTCCAACCTCCCTAGAATAGAGTTAGTACTGTTCCGGTATCCGAAAGTGGAGGGGTTGAGGCTCACAAGTCAAGTTGAACTCCGTTGCTCACTCCATAATCTTCTAGTGTAAGTTGATCTTTGAAAGGGCGTTCGCCCTGGCGTTTGAGAAGGATCTCATGGGGTTCACGGCCGATTCGAGCTGCCACTTGGGCTTTGAATAGCTCTGCGTAGAATGTTAGTACACTTGGTAGCAATCAACAGTAGAAAAGAGACATACTGATCGGATCTGAGGCAAGACAAGGGATTGCGGCTTTGGTTCCCAGACGATCATTGACATGAACCACAATCATGGGTTCTGATGATTGTGGAGCGACCGGCTTCTTTTCCTTCTTTTCTTTCTTCGCTTTCTTTTCTTGGTCTTCGCGTGGCGCATCTCGATCATCACGTCGTGGGGCCCGGTCGCGGTCACCATCTCTTGGTCTATCTCCATATCGGTCACCATCTCGGTCGCGTCGTGGTGATCGTGGTCGGTCGCGATATCCGCGTTCTAATCTGCGATCATCACCACGGGAATCGTTAGTGCGGCTTTTGTCCTTCCACCGAAAGCCTCCGGTCGTCTTTCGGGGGCGCTCTCTATCGAGATTTTCTCTCGCACGTGGAGATCTGCTTCGTGATCGGTCACTCATGACTGTATATGGAGGAAAGATGAAGTTGCGTGGGTGCCTGACAAGCCCAGATGTAATCCAAACGGTGCAGCTGTGAGGCACGTGACGAGATGCAGCTGCCAGTGGGGTACATTAGTCCCAGGTTGGACTAGCGTGTTTATTCACGAGAGCTCTCTCCTGTGTAAAGTACGTTTGGATCTCTCCGCATGTTTGATCTACCTTTTGAATACACAGGCTGCAATGCAAATTGTCACTTAATTCTAGTTCTGCCACCCTTTTTTTTTACCTGACTTTTCCCTACCCAAAATGCGAGGCCGACTAGAGGTTCAGCGTCCCTCTCCGACGACCGTCTCCTTTACGGTATCGAATGCGCCCCAGCGATCGAGTTCCCCCGCCAAAATCCTATTTGGTTTCCAAGTACTGCTGCGTACGGTTTTATTTTTCTGTGTGATCGGTGTCGGTATCGCACGCGTCCGAAATTTCTTCTTCCACGAAGATGGGAGGGTGATAGGCTGGCCAGCCGTGTGGTCAAGCCCGCTCGGATCCAAACTGTGTCGCTCGGTGGATTCATACAACCCGCTGGCAATTGCTGTGGTTGGTGCATTGATTATATACGGTGTTTTTAGAAGAGGTTATGTCGGTAAGCTGAGGGAAGAGGTGGCTTTATTAGATATGTGCATGGCTAATTGTTCGACAGAGGAATCCCTCTTGGTTATTCGAGGCTTCGGAATCCAGACCTCGACATCGTCCTCGACGTATCTTTCTACTGCCTCAACGAGATTCATTCCTACCACACAAATCCAAGACATTGTGATCCACGAAGCCTTCAAGGGCTTCGAGGTCCGTTTTTATTTGGCGGTCATTGTCGAAGGCGAGCCCAATGTCCTAGTGGTCTTCCCGGTATGTGGTATTCTCAGCGTTATGTACTCAAAGCTAATTTATGGCTAGCATATGTTGCCTAAGCGAGAGATCTTGGAGCAGGTTTGGAGAGGTTCTCGGCGGTGTCTTTACGATGCGAAGTCATGATATACCCACAGCCTCTATGCCAATCAATTTTTGTTTGTGCAAAAGCCTATCTTGCTCTAACTCCGAGGTTCGATGCTCTATCAGCGAGTATATACAACGAGGTTCATTCCAGTGCCGCCCTTGCGGCCTCGCCCTTGGCAAGTCTTCGCTGCTTTATGACAAGCCCTTTGGCATTTTGATCTTCCACCGTCTGCATCTTGGACTTCTGGTCGACAGGGGTATATTTCCCACCAACAGAAGTATCGTTTCCACCATACCAAATCTTGGCGCCTCTGTTTGATCTCTTGGAATATCCTGCATTTAGCCATTGCTCGTCGAGGTCTTCCACGCTCTGGTTACCCTGACTGGCAGTCAAGTCTAGGAGAGCACCCGCTAGAATCTCATCTATCTTGCGCTTTCTCCAGACAGCCCACATTCGTTCAACTGTGCCACGCATCCCAAATTTGCTGTCACCTTTGGCACTTCCCTTGCCGTTTGCAGTGTTGTCACCAGCATAGACCCAGTTCAAGGAATCCACGCGGCTACCAGATTTTATGTCGGGGAAAATGCAGTCCCAAAGGACCAGGGGAGCATCGTCAGCCATTGTATAGGTCGGCTTTCGCGGATTCTTGGCAATGTCCAGCAGTTCAGGGACGATAGATGGGGACTCGAGTCCCTGTCCAACTAGGAACAGAATTGCAACCATGTGTCGCACCTGGTGCCACAAGAAGGCAGAACCATGGAGATTGAACGAGTAGACCTGAGGGATAGTTTGAGAAACTGTGTCGGGCGTCAACAAATCCGGTTCGGGCACACAGCCCTCTTTGGCCTGGAATCCAGGTTGGCCAATATAGCCCACGGGATTGACCTTGGGATTGACGGCTTCAATACTAGAGTGATGGATAATGCGTTCGAAGTTATCAATCTGCTTGTTGGTGTCCAACTTGCAGAAATTCCGGAAATCATGCAGACCCTCGAAATGCTTAGCCGCCTCGCGCATGGCCTCAATATCGAGCCACCCCTCGCGGAATTCAGCACGCGGTCCCTTGCCGTTCTGTGCGCGGTTCTGGAACCCAATGGAGCCAGGGGTCGGAGGGAACGCGGGGTTGGTGAAGAAGTACTTGTACCGACGTTCACGGCATGAGAAGCGGGCATCGAAACCAGGCGGCGGGTTAGGACACCACGCCAGAACCCGGATGTCTTCTGGAAGCACTCTGTTTAGAATATTGATATAGTTCATCTCATCGGCGACATCATCCCACTCCTTTTCAGCAGATCCCGAGTCAATGTTCATCGCATCCTCGCCCTCGGGGGTCTTGGGCATGGGTCGTTGACTGCGGACCCGCAGTCCAATGACCTGCCCAAAAGCGCTCACACCCTTATCCGTACGACCTGCTTTAGAGTAATCGCATCCATCCCAATAAAGGTGGTAAGGGTGCATGGGGATGCGCTGCCCTCGCTCGGTCGGCTCAAGATTAGAGGTGGTCTCGGGGGAGATGAGCCGTGTACGCTTCAGTGCCTTCCACAGAATCTCTTCAACGGTAGGTAGAGGCGTGGTATTTCCGTTTGTATGTTCAAGTCCATTGTATTCCTGGCCGAGATATGCGAACTTGAGCGCAATGAACCGCGTTGTGTATTTAGAGGGGTCAAAAGTGCGTTCGGGTTTGGGAGGTTTCTGTACTTTGACAAAGCGCGTCGGCGCAACCGCCGGGGTAGTGTCGCTATCTGGAGGAGAGTGTGGTCGCTTCTTAGGATTATTGACTGGCTCCGTGAGAGGGATCGCAGGTTCCTGGATGTCGGCAGAGATGGGCGCAGAAGCAGGGCAGGGTGTCTGCGACGGCTCGATCGTCGACGCCGTGAACCCCGTATTCTGAGAGTGAAGCTGGCGCTCTAACTCTGTGATGCGCGCGATCAGGCTGGAGTTACTCCAGGCCGAGTAATCGGGTTGGTCCTTAAAGTTGGTTTTTGTCATGGTTTCAGGTGTGGGAGTGCGAGATTGGCACAAGTATCGGGTTTGCCTGAAGACTTGTTGGAGGTTACAACTCAGTGGAACGAGTCTCGTGGGCGCTTTCCACATACCACGTCAAGCGACTGAGGCTGATATTGGATTGTGGACGTTAAACCGGCGGGGATCGAAATTGAAAAAGTTCCGCGGAGGCGCTGTTTGGTGTATTTTTTTTTTTTGTATTGAACCGCTGTATTATAATGTAATTACATGTACTTTAGAACCAAATATTCAGATATTTATTGTATACCACCGTACTAGGACAACTTAATTGCGAACAATCTGCTGAATGTCTTCTTTAGCATATTAATTAATATGAAATTCCAACAAGTTTAAATGACATGAAGTCAGGGTTGCAAAAACAATATATATAAATCAACAACCATATTGGATTCGCCAAGCATTGAACCTTAATCACCCGAAGTCCGTCACCTCTCTAACCTAAAACACACCTGTTCTCTGAAAGGAGATTGTGGTGGAATTACCCGTATAGATTGTCCTGTAGTCGCAGCAGAGACAGTTTTGTGCAATATACCTGTTAGTTGACCGGCCGAAAGGTGCAAGTCGATCCATACTTGAACAGTTGCACATAAGTCGAATCAACAGTTCCAGCATGGCTGAGGTAGATACTCACCCGGACAATGCCCAATCAGTCTCTTTACTTCTACTCGGAGATGAAGGATGTGGGAAATCAACATTCTTAGCGTGAGTAATGTCATCCCACGAGCTGTGGCCCTGGAAGCCAGTTGTTTGCAATCTCCAAACGATCTCCAGGGCTATATATATATATAACGTTGTATGGGGACATGCTAACCTGATATAGTCGGCTAAAGAGTGGAAGACTGTCCCCATCAGGGCCCTCTAATACTGATCCAAATACCCTTGAACTATTGCGAGACGGTGATCAGCCTTTTATTTACGACATCCGGTTCTCAAAAAAGAAATTCACCCTAGAACTTTACGACACATCCAACCCAAACCAGCATTGGACAAACCTTCGACCTGACGTGGTTGTTATAGCTTTTGATATCTCTAACCGAGATACACTCGACGGACTAAAAGAGGTAAGTCTCAAATATTTATTCGGAGTAATTGTTAACTTGTGCTGAAACTCAATGCCCTTCCTTAGTGGCGACATGACATTACTCGTTACTTCCAGTACGGTCATGGCGAGCGCCTTCCAGTGATGATGCTAGGCCTGAAAAGGGACCTGCGGAGAGAAGGTGAAGGAATTATCTATCCACAAGAGGCGAGTGACGTGCATGAGCTGGAGTTTCACGCCTTGACTTGGCTAATTGAATTGTCTATGTAGGCCTATCGTATTGCGCAGGAACTTCGTTGCGATAGATACGCCGAGTGTTCGGCTGTCACAGGCGAGCTGCTCGCAGAGACATTTGAAGATCTCGCTAGATTGGCGGCAATGGCGACGACCGAAAAAGGTGGCCAGACTGAGGGCACTTCTTGCGTTATTCTTTGATTATTTTATTGTCAATGTTCTATCTTGTTTCTCATACCCAGACATGTACAAACCAGTCGTGTGAATGCCCAAAATAGTTACCTCCAGGGCTATCTCCACACTTCGATTTGCTTGAAACGATCAATCGATAGAGACATCCAAGGCATCTGAAAAGAGAAAGCTACTATATATCCATTGCCTGGGTATTACTTTTGGTTTCCTTATCCTACTCTACTACATACAGTCTTGCGATATCCCGTGTGACATTTGAAATTATTGGACGTGGGAGATGTGTGAGCCTAGTTGATACCCTGTCATGTAGACAGAATAAGATACCGAGGGGAACATTGACCTCGTATGGACAACATTGTGTCCTAGCAGTACACATATTTAACACGCTCAAGTCTACAGTCAACCTGGGAAGGACAGACATACTTACACTACAGAACCTACTGGACATGATACCAAGCACAACCTTTTCAGATTACTAGAATACACACAGGGAGAAACCAAGGTAACGGTTAAGTCCACCTTGTGAATTGACAGCACAGGGCTTTCCCCCAGAAGCTTCGTAAATAAAAGCAACTGGATCTCTTTCCCTCATAAGCGCCAGTCAATGATTGGCATGGCAATTCCTCCCCTGTGCAAAACATGGAATAAAAAAAGTGCTGGTAAAATGAGACCACTGAGGCAAAAGATTGAAAGGATCCCGGTGAAAGCTCGTTTTCTTCTGCTGTTTTTCAGTTTCTTTTGGTTTTTTTGTGAATTGCACACAGAGACTAGGATAGACATGTCAAGGGAATTTGCGGGAGATTGTAATCCATTGTTGTGAATGGATTAGATGATGTATAAGAGAAAACAAGAGCAGTTCTTCGATTCCCAGGCCTCAAGGAACTCAGGAAATCGTCACAATCATCCCGGATCACCAAACTTTTGATCAAACGTCCCCCCTTTCAACGACTATCCTCGTCACCGCGGAGCAATTTACCACTTGGCCTCACCAGCGGCGGGCTGAGCCTCAGCCCACTCGGTGGTAGCGGGAGCGGAGCTGGCAGCCCAGTCAGCACCCTCGGCATCCCAGCTGGTGGCACCAGCAGTAGCGGTGGCAGCGGAGGCAGCAGCGAAGGCAGTGCCGGGGTTACCAGCACCGGGGGCGGAGGCATCCCAGTTCTCACCAGCGAAGCCGGACTCGACGGCACCAGCACCGATCTCCTCAGCGCCGGCGACCTTAGTCTCATCAGCAATCTCCTTGTTCTCCTCGGCCTCGGGGTCGCGGTAGAAGTAGAGATCGACAACGGTATCCCACTCGGTCTCGCGGGTAGCGAGGGTACCGCGGAGACGGAGGACCTCACGGGCGAGCATCCACCAGACGAGACCGATGGCGTGGCGACCCTTGTTGTTGGTGGGGATGGCAACATCGACGAAGTCGGTGGGGGAGTCAGTGTCGCAAAGGGCAATGACGGGGATGTTGACGTAAGAGGCCTCCTTGATGGCCTGGGCATCGGTGCGAGGATCGGTCACGATGATGAGACGGGGCTCCTTGAAAGAGCGGGTGATGTAGTTGGTGAAGTTACCGGGGGTGAAACGACCAGCAATGGCGGTAGCACCGGTGTGGGAGGCGAACTTCAGGACAGCACGCTGGCCGTAGGGACGAGCGGAGATGACACAGACATCGGCGGGGTTGTCGATGGCGGCGATGATACGGGCGGCCAGGACGATCTTCTCCCTATTGCAGTGAATCAAACACATTAGATACCATACCACAGTCACAAGTCCTTTTGATTTCGCGCATACCAGGTCTTGCCAATGTTCAGGACGTTGACACCATCGGCGCGGAGCTTCCAGAGGTAAGGCTCCATGTGCACCTGAAGGTTCTTGGAACCGAGGTGGCACTGAGCGGCAAGGAGCATCTCAATGTCCTGCGCGGTAGGGTTGAAAACCGGGGGGAGCTGGGAAGGGGCCATGTTGGGCGATTGATGGATTGATGAGTTGGAAGATCAATCGTCTGGCTCTTGTCGTGGTGATGGAGGGAAAAAGATCAAAGCCAAGCCGCAAAATTGTTGCACTCTCGCGATTCGGGAGAATTTCGCTTGCGTGCGCTAGGGCTAGGGCTCCAGGACCCCAAGGGGGGATGTTACATAATCACCATCTTGGCTCTTTGTTCACGTGATAATAATGCCTGGGGCAGACAAAATCCAGACTAGGATTAGCGTAACTAGACCTCCGGCCGCAAGATTTCCCGACGAAAGGTCGATGGAAAAGAGAAGTTGATTGTTACAATAGAGCCAACTACACGCCAGCTACGCCCACCATGCCTCCGCGCATCTCAATTCAGTCCTCTCTGAAGGCATTGACCGGTATGCTTGTCAAAACCAGTGATGTCAAATGTGCAATTACCTGGGTGCTAACCAAGACTTGTTTAGGTTCAACCTCCGGATATAACCCGTTGTCCAATTTGATCAACACTTCTATCAGAGCTGCGTCTAGCAAGGTTCAGGTTCGGAGGAAACATGACCCATTTCTGATGGCCCAGGCGCGCCAGCGTAAGGCAGCCAATGTCTCCCGCCAACAGGTCCTTGCGGAGGAACGAGAATCATCGCTCGGGGACCCTGTCAAGAGCCAGCCGACACCATTTATCCTAGAGATGACAGCAATCCAAACCAACTCGCATATTCCATCATCTTTGGCTGAGGATCTCAACTACTACTTGAAGTCGGATGAGCTGGATGCCGCCCTCGACTTCTCTAAGGATTTGACCGCACCGCTTAAAAATCCCGATCGCAACACAGCCGATCCTCAAATCGAGAAGGAGGCAATGAATTTGCATAAACAAGAGCATAAGAATGCTCAAGAGGCAATCAACCGGATTGTGAATCTGAACAATGGAAACACCAAGGACCGCGTGCGCCTCAACATTACCAAGTGCATTGAAACATTCGGGCGACACTACACAGACTCAATTCTCCCACCAAAGCCTTCAGCTGTGATCCATGGGTCTGCCCCTGTTCATCCGGAACGCGCGCCGCGTGTTGGTCCCGATACCGGCTCTGCGGAGGTGCAAGCCGCGATCCTAACCGTGAAAATCATGAACCTCTCCCGACACCTCGAGAATGCCAACAAGGACAAACACAACAAGCGTAACTTGCAACTACTAGTCCACAAGCGCGCGAAGCTGCTGCAATATGTCCGCAAGAAGGAACGCGGAGGTCCCCGGTGGCAGAACCTGATGGGGACATTGGGATTGTCTGACGCTGCGTGGAAGGGAGAGATTGCCCTATGAAGGTCATTGTTTTAATAAGAGATCTTTTGTATCTCTACATCATTCTCTTCTTTTGTGATTGGCTGGCTTTGAAAAAAGTATCAGCGTGTTACCTTGTATCATCTATCTAGGAGCTAGCGAGGGGTACTTGTTGGTCCATGTCTCTATTTCCATGTTTCATCCGCAGAGCATCTGTACAAATAGCATTGTTTCTTTTCCCAGTTCTGTTTCCACGTTCATAAATAAATTGAAGTAGCTAACTTGCTATCGGAGTATAAGCTTTGGAATTTAGTAAATTCGCCCTAAATTGCTCTTATATTAGCGTCTTTCAAGTGCCCAGATATGGCAATCTCTCGATTAGGCTGTTGGATATGGATACAGACTTCAAATTTATAAAGCTTTAGTTGCTGGATTGTGATGACATACGAGAGAACCCATAACTAGGTAGGCTATTTTGGGCTTATTTAAGGGGAGTGGACTACCCGGGAACGGTATGCGGGGAGAAGTTGGATCTGATCTAAGACAGGAGAAGAGAAGAGACAGAACCGATGCATCATGTCTAGAATTAACCAGAAATACTCCATAGAATAAGATGAATATTGATATCAGAGAATAGCAATAATTGGAACGATAGGCACAATAGTGTCCCTTACCTCGAAAGGACACACCGCCCTGGGACAAAACATTCTGCCGGATCGCGCCTTCCAATTCTGAAAAGTTACATAGTTTGGTCGAAACCTGGCAACGGCTCCTTCCCTTTTTAATCTGGTTGTCGCGTCCAAGAGTGTTGTTTATATCTTTTTCTTCTCTTCTTCTTCTGTCTTTTTCTCCTTTTCTCCTCCAAATCACCAACAAAATTACCATCCAAAGCCATTGCCTTTGGATATCTCGTCAGAGTCTCTGTGATCGACTCAGCGAGTATCTACATATGTTCCTGGTAACCTTTGGATATCTTTGACTGATCTATTGCATCTTCATAAGACTTCCCTCGGTTTCCCCTTGCACCACCCACCCCCCTCACCCTTCTACTAACCTCACCACCCACCTTCCTCCATTTTGCGCGTTTCGTCAAGATGAGACTGCGGTCGAACCACGTTCTTCCGCCAATCACGGAGTACGTCCCACGCCGCCGCCGCCAGACGCGGAGTGCATCCGTACAGGCTGGGGCCGAATCCGCGACCGAGACTGCGCCAGAGGTTGCGCAAGAGACTGTGCCAGACACAGAGTCCGCCGAAGAGAGGCCCGCTACAAAGCGGAAGCCAGCCAAGAAAGCTGGCCGGAAGAAGGTTGGTTCAGAAACCAGACCTCGCAACTGTTCAACCTAACCAGTGCTTCTAGAAGGCTGCGCCAAAGGGCAAGAAGTCCGCCGCCACTGCGAAGACTGGAGTCGCCGAAACGCCCGAAACCTTGGAAAACTCCCTTACGCTCATTCCATCTGTGGAGCAACCTGACACCCGTACGTTACCCCCAAGGCCCACCAGAGTTCTCGCTCCCAAGCGCATTGTCAGAGGACGAGACATTTCGGCGGCCTTTCGACATGGCAGTGCTGGCGATCTCCTGAAAAAGGAACATCGGAACCCAACTCCCTCTCCCCACCAGACACCCGTGAAGCAATATGCCTGGCCGCCTGGAATAGTCTGCGATAAGCTAAAGCGAATCCCCTGGTCACTTCCCTGGTCCCCACCAACTCCCCCAAGAGGCTGGCCCCACAGACGCTCTCTCCATATGACTGATACCCCGGATGAACCCAAGCTGACCCGCACGGAAGAAACATCCTCTAGGAAACGGAACCGATTGTCCGAAGACGACCCCTCGGCGTCGAAACGTCACAAGTTAACACTTCAAGCCCCATCCGGCTTCGAAAATCGTCCTCGTGGCAGCCCTCGCAGGACGTATGCGGATCGCGCCCGGCGACGCGAAGCGGAAAGGGATGGACGAATCGATCGCACCATTTACCGTTTCCCCCAGCTTTTGGCTCAGCAAGGAGAAGATGCGAGATCTGGCAATTCGAACCCCCCGACATCTCATGCAAGCGAAGAGACCACGCCCCGTGGTAATCGTGTTGTTCCGTTGTCTTCATTGCCTTCTGCACTCCCACCAAATCAAAACCAAGACCAAAACCGACCTGGTTGGCGACAATGGATATTCAGCTCAGTGACTGGTCTTTGGCGACGAGACAATGCGCCCCAAACTGCAGAGGTCCCACAAGGTCAGTGCCCTTTATATCATGGTATCTATTTACAGTGGCTAACATCATGATTCTAGTGGCCGAACCTCAGCATCCAATGGGAAATGAATCTTCATCTTCCATCGCAACACCCCTATCAGCTCCACCTTCCTCCTCCCTTGTGCCACAGAGAAATTTCGAATCCCCCACTCCACGCCCACGCATTGCAGAGTCGCGAACCTCACACTCACGTCTGACAGCCAGCGCACGTGTCCCACAAGTCGGCAAAAGAAAGAAATACTCCTATGATTTGGACCCACCCGGGTTCGATCCAGAACTGCTAGCACGCATGCGTGCCAGGAAGTCGAATCCTGAGGATCTCCAACCTGTAACTTCACCAGAGCAAGTTCGTGCGCGCTACGAGAACGAATCGAAGAAGCGCAAGCGGTCACCGTCACCCGATGTCATTCCACACCCTCCAGGATGTAGTTACGGATTTGACCCAGATTACTTCATTTACGATGATGACGATGAGGACGATGAGGACTTCCCCACGAGCGAGCAGGGAAATCAAGATACCACTGCCAAACAAGCTACAGTCAGCGATGCACCGGAAGAGGAGCATGTCTCTAAGCGTGTGCGCTCTGACAAGACCATCCTGGAAAATGCACCGGAGGAGCATATCTCCAAGCGTGTGCGCTCTGACAAGACCATCCTGGAAAATGCACCGGAAGAGCATATCTCCAAGCGTGTGCGCTCTGACAATACCCCTCTGGAAATTGCACCAGAAGAGGAACATATCTCCAAGCGCGTGCGTTCTGACAACACCCACCTGGAAAACTTCAAACCCCCGACTGCACCACAGACCGAATACTCTGCCCAGGAACTGCGAAAGGCCCGCGAGCAAGCTGAACAGTACAAGCCAAAGACTCCCAGTCGGCTTCGAGCTGCTCACCGTTTTTCAAGCAGCTGCAGTGAGTTCATTAAAGAAGACGAAGTTGACCGTCGTCGAAAGATGAGAAAGACGTCCCTTGCGACGGCTTGCCCCACTGGGGATTTGGATCAAATCATATGGCCCGAAACTGAACGATGGGTAGACCGTCTCGACTGGGGCCACCGTGACCTCGATAAGTGGTTGACCCTGGGCCCCCAGTATCAGAGAGATGCGCTCACTGAGAATTACCACCAATTCTTTGTGGCAAAGCTTGCCGAGAAGCGCGCCCAGAACTAAACACAACAACAAAAACAAAAAAAAAAACTATGGAATTACTCGGGGTTTCCTTGGCCTGTTTTGGAGGCTGGGGCTTTGGGAACCTCTGGAGTAATTCCACACCAAAAAAAGGAAAGGAAAGTCTTCTCTTTCCTTCGTGTACTTAGCGTGATTACCAAAATGAACCCCCCCCCATGTATGATTCAATTGTCTCAATGACGACTTAGTTCTAAGTATAATACACCATATCTGACTGCCTCTTTAACAGTTGATGGAGATGCAAAGATCTAGGAATGGTTTACTTCTTCCAGAAAGCCGCCATGTCTCCTATTTCGAAAGAGCTTGTATAGACTGTTCAAAACGAATTCGCGATAGAGTCCTAGGATATGTGTTCCACTGAAAGTAGAAAATATCTGATCTATAGATAACATAGTTGTTTTTAGAGTACCTATTTATGTAGATCTCTATATCAAGAATAAGAAGCAATAGAGATCTGCTCACTTCACTTTTGCTGTCGATTTGAAGAAAATGAAACTGGTCATTATCGGTGGAGAGACCAAACACTGACGGGTCAACCTTACGGTCAGCCCGACGCTGCGTATGAATCATGCCTAGATAGAGGGTCAGTTACGACGAGAAAGATGACGAGAAATGAGCCACGCCTTCGACAGATTGGCCATGCTCTGTTTCGACGATGACCGAGTTGATGGCTGCACCTTGCTTTTCTTTCTCCACGGGATACCAAAGAAACCAACTAGGGGTCCCTTGGAGACAGTACACAATTCCCTTGTAGACAGCAGGCCCAAATGAAAATGAAGATCTAGATGATATGGGAATTGGATTCGAGCTAGGAGAGTGTGGGTTGGGGGGGCGTGGTATGGCCAGCCGTAAGAAGAATATCCAGACGAAGTCGCACAGCAACTTTAGGTTTTGCATCGGACCTGGAGATGGCCGAGTCAACCATTTTCAAAATGGTGTCTAGAAGTAGTTATCTATCTTGTCGGACGTCCTCCAAGTTGGACCTACTACAGTGGTCTGTAATCTCAAATAGAGCCCGAAGCAACGCCCAGTTCGTTTCTTCCCAGTCCACATCCTGCATTCTGGTAAGATGGAAGATTCTCTCAACGACCGGGAGACTGAGGGCCCTGGCTGCAAGTTTGGCATACATTAGTACCGCTTGCGTTGTTGTAGATGCCATTTTGGAGAGGGAGGTTGTCTCAGGAGGGAAGAGAAATGGAAGAGAGAGGGGAGAGAGGGAGGGAGAGAGAAAATCTCGTCTGAGCGAAGGAAACTCCAAGTGTTGCAATGCAAGATGGATCCAACTCAAACACAGGTACCCGTATAGTGTTGAGACCATAGCTCTGTATCTCAAGAATGTGTGTCTCGGTAATCCACAATCCCTAGTGCTTTGCAAAGGCGCTGTTGGCCGCGTCCTGGCCAATACTTGAGACGCACTTAAACTCGGACTCTTGGTCTTATTTATATAGATCGTATTCATGAAGTTATGCTAGACAGAGTGGATTAAAACTCATGGTTCTAGGCAGATCGTCAAGAGCCTAGGTAACATCTATCAGCAAGATAGGCTCCTTCCATGTAATCCACTACTCCGTACAGTGAGGCCATCCATGCCACTGTGTAGTATACTGTAAGATGGAATTCTCTCTTTGGGGAGGACCACGCTAGTCTTCGGGATCAAGAGTGTGGAGGTACAGTTCTAGAGTGCTACACAATGATCCACTAGAAAGAACCTACGTGCTTGTATTGAAGGTGGAATGGATAGTCAAAGAAGGATTACTTCCATCTTGTTCATTCTGTTGCTTTCTATATACACCTCACCAGAGGGCCTCTTCCAAGGCTCCATCTATTGTGGGATCATACACGATGATGTACAGCTATTCCTGATGATAGTCGAGAATCCCGAGTGTCGACATAAGAATAAATCTGATTTCTTCTGTGAATCTGACCACGCCATCATAGTAGCTTAGTCAATCAGGCCGGCCATACTTCAAGACTGGGATAGGGTCCAGAGCTTGAGAGCTTGGAACTCGACGCAGTATAGCGTAGGGCATGCGGTTTGGTCTGACGATGGGCTGGACAGGACGCCTCGACGACCCGACAACCACCCATTGAGAATGATGCAGTGAGAAATGAGGGAAACATAGTAACTCAAAGTCCAGCTTTAGTCGAAGATGTCGAATTTGTCGAATTTCTCCTCGTTGTTGGCGGGTTTCTCTTCCTTGCCAGCAATCAGACTTCCGTATTGGTTATAAACCGGATCATCTGGGTCATAAGTTTCTTTACCCCAGAGGCCGAGGTCATCATCAAAGAGATCTCTTTCTTGACCATTGCAGACTTCAGAGAGAGTGATCCAGTTCTCGTGATCGGTCCAGATCCCACCTCGACCTCCGCGCACCTCCAACCAGTCCTGTCCGCCCAGCAGTGACGACTGTGCCGCGTCGAACCCGTGCGAGTCACGGACATATTTGCGCAGTAGGGCGCGTCCCCATGGGAAAAACCACATATTCTCCCACCAGGTGTTGCGGAGCTTGGGGTCGCCGTTGAGATGGGCGAGTACCGGCACCGAGGCAGAGTGGACATTGGTCATTAGCGAGATGTTGTGCCAGGTGCGCTCTCGCGGGTTCGGAAGCTTGTCCAGCGTGGCATTCCACACCGGTCTCTGGGTTGATTCTTTTGCGAAGCGGGATTGGACGAATGGGTTAGGGAGAGTGGCAATATCCTGTGGTAGGAGGAGGCGGTGTTCACGCGGGACGCCGTGTTGCATCTGCAGCGCGGACATTTTGGTGACGTTGCCGTACTTGACCCACTCGACATCCTTGCGGGACACGATCTGGTTGAAGAAAAGTTGTGATTCGAAGTCGACACCAATGCCGAATTCGTAGCGGTGACCTGTCTCCAGCCGGAGACTCATTCCGCTGATGTTTGCTGCATCTGAGATGCCCACCATCCGGTAGAGCAGCTCTTTGAAGTCATTGGCTGTTCGTCGCCGCTCCAGTTCTCTGATGACCTCCTGTCGTCCGTAAATCTGTGTCAGGGCCTGGTAATCTGCAGACTTGTTCGAGCGCAGCTCAACTTGCCGCAAGACCTCATCGTAGATCAGGCGCAGATCTGCAGCCTGACCAATTACCGCTCCAGGGTTCAGCCACCGGGGTCTGTTCAGAGATCCATCCGGATAGACATCAGTCTTCCAGCCATATACATCCGGAGGTAGAGATGATTCGGGGACAGATGCGCAACCGGGGTCGTTTAGCAACCCGGGGAAGCACAGCTTACTCGCACCAAAAAGAACGCGCTGGGTGTATTTCTGTACCATCTCAGGCGCAGCCCCAGCCTCTTGGCCCTCTACTTGTGCGAACCCGAACTTCTTCTGCAGCTTTCGGTTGTTCGCCTTTATTATAGACTGGAACCGCTCCACTAGGACCTTCGGTGGCAATTGGAAGAAGCTGTCTGCGCCATCGACCATCAGCACAAAGTCGCGATCATGCACGGTCTTGCTGTCTCGGAGGTAGTTGCGCGCTCGGGTGATCCGGTCCACCATGCGCTCGGCCTCGGTCGCTCCTGGAGAATCATCCCCGTAACCGACTAATGTGGGCGGCGGGTATCCAAGAATCATGGCTGACGTGATTGTTCGGCAGACTCCGCGCGAGCCATGCGAGGCTGGGACTAGGACATGCAGGCGCGGATTTGGCTTGTCCAGATCGTGTGGGAGGGTATCGTTGACATTGATATCAGTGCGCGGAGGGAGAATGACCTGGGCATCTTCTGGACGCCCAGGGAAAGGATGGCGCGAGGGAAACTTGGTCCAAAAGTCCGGTTCGATTCGCTAGATGGATTGTTAGCTTCTTTGATCTCAAGTGTCGGTGGAGAAATTCTTACTGTTGAAGAATACTGTAGCATACAAAATAAGAAGAACAATGCGATCACTGACAAGCCAGCTGTCTTAATCCGGTTTGTCCGTGACCGACGGACGTGCCACAGCGCGGGAGATTTGGCATCTTGAAAGTGTAACGCGTCCTCCGACGCCATCATGCAAAAATAGAGTCGAATCAGAAACTAAGTAAAGCGATATGGAACATTGTATGATTTTCGGACCAAAAGGATCCAAAAGACACCAAACGGGAAATACGCAATCGTCTTGGGGCGGGCAGAGGATCGGCGCAACGTTTCCGGTGCGTCACCTCATGGGCCCCTTGGATGTTACATCTAAGTTTGTCTCAGGTTTAATTGTATTTTATGTTATAGTAGACTAGATCATATAAATATATGTATTTATTCATTTGGCAAGCTTGAGACTATGTAGATATGTTTCTTACAGTCTCTTATATCACTACATAACTATGTAACACATACGCTATATGTATGGAATATGTTCCCTCAAATCCTTCACTGTGCTCTCCGAGAACAGTAAAATAAAGTAGCAGTTTGCAGTAGATAGATTGTTCTGTGTAAAATCTGCAAAATACTATACAGGTCCAAGTCGCCATGTAGAGAACCAGCTCAACATCTCAGAACCATAACATTGTCTCATTCCAAGTAAATTTCCTCTCTCAGACGCTGCAAATTCCGGAACAGTCCACCGGCCGGTGCCCCACTGTCGCTATCCCGCCGAGACTCAAACCTGGACTTCGATTGTCCTCGGTTCTGATCCTGCTGGTCCAAGGTGCGCCGTCGATCTTCAACAATATTCGCCAGGCTATCCACGAACCGATTACGAGCTTTTTCCTCGGCAGATGTATTCCATACAGTCGCCAGCGTCCGTAGAGCTTCAACACGGCGGTTGGCGGCGTCCAGTCCGGCGTATCCTCCACCCTCGCTGTCGAGTAGCTCCGTCACTTCTGTGCGTAGCTTCTTCATCATTTCTTGGCCTTTTTCTTCGCGGTCTTGGCCTTCCGGGCCGAGGTCTGGTCCTGAGACGGAAATGAAGGATGATGAGAATGAGAGCTCGGATGGGGGCAGCGGCCAGCTCATTGCGTCGCCAAAGGTCTGCACGACGTCTTCGAGCCGTGAGCGCACTTGGCATAGTGTGCGGAGGTTCGTTATATATTCTGGGTCTGTCGGGGCGGGTGTGTTCTTTTCGTCTGGGTTTGTTGCTGATTCGTCTTCCTTTGGCGCATCCTCTCCTGCTTCGGTCTTGTGCCCGTCTTCTGGTGAGGGTTCCGGGACGAACTTTGATATGTCGTCGCGTAGGACTTCGGTTAGGGTCTCTGATAGTCCGATTGTCTCGCCTCGTAGGACTTCGACTTCGTAGGCTAGTCGTCCACCGCTTCGGAGGATTTCGTCCGTGAGTTGGGATAATGTACTCGAGAGACGGATGTTTTGGGCGCTGATTTGGGAGAGGAGGGACTGGACCTGCGTAGACAGCTCTGCCAGGGGCACAGAGCCTGGCGACCGAGAGGCATTGGGTTGTGCCGATGCCACAGTCAGCGGCGATAGAGTGTCATTGAGGAAGTCGGCTGGGTCGAAGTTCGGGTCGGTGAAGTTAGGGGATGCAGGTTTGACGTCGGCTCGAGCTGACGAGCTATATGTTTGTGATTCCATTTTATGTGAAGGTCAAATTTATGAGCCTTGCCAATTCGTCTTGAGGTCAGTTCAGACTTGAAGAGAGAGCTGGCCTCCGCGGAGAGGGTCGATATCTCCACGCCCCACCGCCTTATGTTTTCTTTATAAGTATAGTGTATACTACTTTAGGTATAGTTCCTGGCTGCTTTTGATCTGAGATCTATACAACGTAAACAAAAGAAATCAATAGTTAATTACTTCTACCTATCTTACTTCTTTGTTGACTATTTTGATTTACTATTCGTCCCACTGGATCACTTGGTAGCTCACCCCTAATATCCTGGGCACCAGTCCATCGTGTCTTTGATGGAAATGCATGGTTGATATATAGGATTTGACGAGAGGGTTCCATCGTGGTAGTAGCAAAGTGAAACTGCTAGCGAGGTGAAAATGGGGATGCTGAGGTTTGGAATTAGGATGAGAAAAAAAGAGCCTGGCTGATAGGTTGGCTTCATTGTTCTTTGCTCGTAGTAAATAACATCATGAATATTGATAGATAGTAAAGGGTAGGAGCCGGAGAGGATAGTGCAAGATCTCTGATATTGAAACTATGGAACCAGAGAGAATGACATGTGACAAGTTGGATATGAGACACTGGTAAATCAGGGGGTTTATGGATCATGGAGATTGCATTTCATCATGGCCGGCATATCTAGGCCAGTTTAGAGTATGCAGTCCTAATTGATTCTGAGCTAACTACTTAACAGGCTAAGCACAGCCTCTAGTGTTTTATGGTAGCCTGCATATCCAAGCCAGTCCAAAATATGCAGCCCTAATTGATTTCGGGCTGCTTGCTGTGCTTTTGGCACTGGATTCGACGACCTAAGGCATAATATAATGCATCTCGGCTCCTTTTCAACAGATACCAATATACCTACCCCGGGCATGAAGTCCCAGAGGCAAATTGAGGGAAAGCCAAAGGCTACAGAAAGGAAGCAATAATAAAAGCTGGAGAGAGTGATTAAAATGTATTATCTATACAATTGAGCTATAGTTACATCCGATGGAGGCCTTGTATCCCCAAGTAAGCCCCATCATGCCACGGGAGATCATGTATACTGGTATAAGACTCAACAAGCCCAAGCCAAGACTTCATATCGCCGCTCATCGATTCCAAATCCAAGTCCTCCAATGGAAATAACATGTACCTATTTGCAAAAATATCATTCAAGCCTCAATTCCAAAGACTCATACTGACCAGGTTTTGCAGAGGCCGAGAGTCGAGTGAGGAAGGGGTATAATTCTGAATTTGCATAAGAAAGAAAACAAAAGAAAAAATTAAGCACCAAGTTCATGTACGAACTTTGGGCCGGCATCTGTCGCATGGAGTTCAGAGGGACCAGTCGTCCTCGTGTTTGCCACAATACTAGACGCTCCTGCCTGCGAGTTCCCACCGAGCTCACTTGGTGTTCCGTGTCCTGGGCGTTGGTATACTATGTTCGGGTCGGCTTGGATGCTTCCGCCAAGCTCGCTGACTTCGGGGTGGCTGCCGTCTGAAGATGTCGTGTCTGGTATAGCGTTTTGTCCTTTTTGCTGGCGTCGGCGGAAGAACCAGAATAATAGAGCGACGAGTACAATTAGGCCTGCTGCGCCGACGCCGACGCCGACGCCGATTTTTGCTCCGGTCGATAGTCCGCTTGACTCTGTTCCTGTGCCTGGGGCTGCGGGGCTTGGGGCTGCTGGTTCTGGGATATCTGGGACAGCTGGGACTGTGAGGCCCGTCTGTGTTGATGATGGGGTTGATGAGGTTGCCGTTTCGGATGGTTCATCGGATGATGATGCTCTGGTCTTGGTGTCGGTCGTGGTCGTGGTGGCCGAGACAAATAGGCTTTTGTCTGATGCTTGCAACTCGACTTGGATTGCTTGCGCCCACATCGTCATCGGACCAGAGACCTGTGTGCTTTCCTCATCGACCTGACGAACCGTGACGATGGTAGATGATGAACTAGGGAATTCGCTTAGACATCCGGCGAATGTTGTTTGCAGGTCCCTTTTTTCTTGGTAGTAGGTGAAGTCACTAGAGCCTCAAAGTCAATATCTATGCCGGAAACCATGATCTGCGTCTTTTCCACTTACGAGGGACAGCATACGGCAGTGGTCGCCGGTTTGTGAATCACTAAATCGGCCGAGGTGTATCCATGTGGACAATAACCTGGACTATAGACGACAGATGCCCGAACTCTTCCATACTGGGTGTACCCGGAAGGGAAACACGCAGGATCGGCATTATCATTGTCGGCGGCGTTTTGTATTAGGAGGCCATTTGGGACCAGGTTTGCAGCCTCTGGTTCATATGTCCACGAGCTCGAGCATGAGGCGGGGGCCGTGAAGATACTTGACATGGGCGCCGTGATGGTCCCTGTCGATTCGGCCTGCCTTACGACCAATGTCGGTATAGTAGACGTCATTTTGAAGTTGTATCTGCTAGGTAGCGCTATAAGATGTTGCAGAATGGTAAAGTGTATAGCGGTGGAAAACTCGAGATCAAGATTTCGCCCCCAAGTTGAAAGGGGGTTTATTTTGATCGTTGGGTATACTCTGCAGCGCAAATTCCAAACTCATCTTAGCTCCCCTCGGCACAGGGTTCTCTAGTGCTGGCTCTATGATTTTCCTCACGAGCTAGCTCCTCGCTCAGACCTAGCCAAAGTGCCATTCATTTCGCTATTTCTTAGCTTTCACTCAGCGTGAACGGCCTAAATTATATAAAATAATGACAATCATCAATGAATTTCCTAAGTAATCAAAGTGGACATTGGAAAATTCCCCCGGAAAATACCCAAAATCAGCTATGGAACATCACGATGTCCACTAACACACTAGCGTCCTCGCGCCACCTTTTACCCATTTAGTACCAAGATACCATGTCTTGGCTACAAGTAAGGCTCATCAGGAACGCCGTCTACACAAATCAGGCCACGAAAAACCATCACAAGATATATGTAGTTATGGTACAGAGTACAACATACAACGTATATAATATATAGTAAGGTATGAGAATCTGGAGTATGTAGCACACGAAACTATGTATATGGCTTTCAATATTTTCAAAAAGAATTCTGGGAACATTTAGCTTCCTAGGTGGATTTGACTAATTTAAAATGTTTCAGACCGCACTGAACGCTTCTGTCATAAGTCATTTAAGTGGTTGACAGGTGAGTGTTCTCCACATCAGTTGATGAGTCTTGTTTCTATACGAAGGATCATCATCGTTGATTCCCCCGGGTATACGGAGTACTTGGCGTGATAGAAAAGCAAAATTATAGAACGAAGATTCCATTTCATTACACTAAGTAGGTCGAAAGCAGTCAAGACATTAAAACAGCCGCAATAGTAGCAGCAAACGAAGGTGGGTATCGTCATAGATCCAATCACGTCCAGCCATAATACAGAAACAATAAAATCCGGGAACGCAGACGAATGAAATGTTGAAACAGCTTCAGGGTATCCACTTTCCGGAAAGAGCAAGGTAAATCACAAACTAAAGGGAGACAGGGTCATATCTTCATGCAAGCAATTGACCCATTAAGATAAAGGGAGGAAGACGCAACACATCAAGATCACATCTAGATATCTTCGACAACGCGGGCGTTCACGGCCTGCTGGAGCCCAGTATCGACCTGAGAGGTAGCGCCGTACTTGCTAGGGCCTTCACCGAAGCTTTCGGCAGAATTAAGCTGCGTGTGCACGTTCTGGCCATTCACTCCCGGCATAAAGATAACCTTGCTGTTGGCGGATTTGGCCATGGCCTGCATTGCTTCCAGGTAGCGGATCTGCATAGCCGGAGCGGAGGACAGGATATCGGCAGCCTGGCGCATCAACTTGGCGGACTCGACCTCGGCGCGTGCAGCAATGACCTTGCTTTCACCGATACGCTTCGACTGCGCTGCCATCGAGAGCGAGTCTTGGAGATCTTCGCTGAAGATTATGTCCTTGATCAACATCGACTCAACCTTCACTCCCCACCCGGCGGCTACTTCCTCGATGATCTCCGAGGTCGACTGGGCGATCTCCTCGCGGCGCTCGATCACGTCTTGCAGCACACGCGCGCCGATCACATGGCGCAGGGTGGTCTGGGTGCGCTCGACCAGGGCTTGTCTCACGTTCGAGATACCGAAAGCGGTCTTGTGGGGAGAGACCACTTGGTAGTAGATGACAGAGGTCAGATTGAGGGTGACGTTGTCCTTGGTCATACAGATCTGACGGGGCACTTCGACGATTTGAATCTTGACATCGACCGTGGTGATGTGTTCGCTGAGCGGGTTGATCTTGACCAGACCAGGATCGACCGATCGCTCGAAGCTAAAATAATCATTGTCAGTGGGTGATATTCGATGGCTGAGAGGGAAATCACTAACCGTCCAAATCGCGAGATCAAACCGACTGCACCTTGGTCGACGGGCTTGAAGGGGTTGGGGCAGCAGAAGCAGCAGGGGATAGCTCCGAAGAATCCAATACATTCACCCAAACTGTGGACTAAACGAGGTTAGGATCAGAGTCACAACGCGTATGAAGACGTGACTCACTTAGACCGGCGTACCAGCCATGGGCATCGGGGTTATCATCATCATGGTTGATACGGTGGGCGTATTTAGGCTGCAGATCGCTCATGCGGAATGGCTGGACATCGACCAGAGGTTGATGTACACCACGATCGACGGCAGGAGCCTTGCTGGTGCTTGCGCCGTTGACAGACATGGTTGAAATATTATAAGTGATGATATGGATCAAGGGTGTTCAAGGTAAGATGATGAAGGGATGAAGGGGGGAAATCCTAAGGTTATATATAAAAAAGTAAACAGACCTTCCACGTTGTACTTTTTCTCCGCAGTGGAACCATTCATGACACTCTTTAATTCTGACCGGATTTAATATGATTGGTTGAATCGTTCTAAGCCTCCCTCAAGGCTGAGTCTTCGGGCGCCGGGTTCATATGGGGTTGCCGCATAGCCGCTTGACTGTTTGCACCAACTTGCCGAAACGGTTCGATGATTTCAAGTGTGTGAAACTTGTACTATGTGGTCCATGTAAACTAATCCTTCCATTCCCAGAATCTCGCGTATGTACATTGCACATCCCGATCGGGCTTGTCTGGGCATCGTCATAGATGCATTACATGTGCACGTGAGAGGGTTTCCAGATGTCCTCTAAAAGTTCCGGGGCGCAAGGGCAGATTCCACGGTGGCGATGCCATTGAAAGACATTATATTCCATCACATGAGCTGTCAGACCTAACCCTTGGGAAGCCTTGCAAAAAACGAAAGCGAAAACGTGAGAAACATTTTCAAGTCTAAAAACCAATAGTGGATGATCTTTGGCCTTCGTATTCCGTACTTTGGCCCGAGCGGGAGGCAGTGCCTGGAAGGTAGGGCAGTGCCAGAGGCTTGGCTTACAACATAGTGGAGTGAGGTGCGCCCTGGAGTAAAGTGTATTGTCAATTTTAAGAAGAATGTGGTTTATAACATAACAGTCAACAATCTTACATCAACTAGCATCATTGGTCTAGTGGTAGAATTCGTCGTTGCCATCGACGAGGCCCGTGTTCGATTCACGGATGATGCACATCTTTTTTTTGTTTTTGTGTTATCTTTTACTCTACTAGTTATTGGATGGAATATGACCATTTATATCCTTTTTCATATTTTTATTTTAATACATGGACACACTAACTAAAAATCCTAATATTTTATGCCTTGCAAAGATTGACCAAATCGGGTAATAATCATGTCAAACCGATCTCTAAATATATATCACAGCATCAAGTCGAAAGGATAACATTTGAAGTAATCAAGTGGACAACATTTGTCCATTATTATGATCATGATCAATGGTAAGTACAAATATATGAATATAACCCCCTAGAAAGAGGGAGTATATATTATAGAAAGGATAGAAAGGATAGAAAGGATAGAAAAGTATGGGGGGATCACCATCCGCAACATGACCCTGGAATGTCGCCATACTTCACTCGTACGAGAAAAGATAAACGTTGTACAATCGATCAATATCAAAATCCCCTAAACCCCAATAATCATTTATGTCCCCCACAGTTACATGCTGACGCCATCGGCCTCCAACCGCACGTCTTTTTGCACGTCTCACGGCAATGCACCGCGGGGTCAATAGATATTGACACATGCAGGGTCAATAAATATAGTCTACCCCTCTAGAGCTACTGTACACTCGCAATTCAATCTTCTCCCCTTACACACACACCATCACCATGTCTTCCGAAAAGAAACAACTCATCATCAATGCCTTTGCAATGCAATCGCCGAGTCACCTGAACCCAGGTCTCTTCCGCCATCCCACAGACCAAGGCGCAGACTACAAGAATATCAAGCACTGGATCGCCCTAGCCAAGAAGCTCGAAGATGCCAAATTCCACGCCATCTTCTTCGCAGACGTCCTAGGTGGCTACGATGTATACAGAGGTCCCTCAAACCTCTCCCCGACAATTCCTGCCGGCGCACAATTCCCAATCAACGACCCCCTCTACAGCATTCCTGCCATGGCTGCAGCTACCGAATCAATTGGCTTCGGCGTAACAGCTTCAACAACATATGACTCCCCCTACGCCCTAGCAAGACGCTTCTCAACAGTCGACCACCTCAGCAATGGTCGTATCGGCTGGAACATCGTCACCTCATACCTCGACTCTGCCGCTCGAAACTTCGGCCTCGATACACAGGTCGAGCATGATGAGCGCTACCGCATCGCCGACGAGTACCTCGACGTCACCTACAAGCTGTGGGAGGCGTCTTGGAGAGACGATGCCGTGACTTGGAAGCAGGGCTCAGAGAGCAAGACACAGGCATATGCGGATCCCACTGCTGTCCGTGAAATCAATCACAAGGGGAAGTACTTCCAGGTTCCCGGTCCCCATCTCTGTGAGCCGAGTCCCCAGCGTACGCCGTTTATCTTGCAAGCTGGTACGTCGACAGCGGGTAAGGCATTTGCGGCGAAGCATGCCGAGGCTGTGTTCTTGCATGCACAGAAACCAGAGCTTGTTCGTCCGTCCGTCGATAGTATCCGCCAGCAGGCTGCGGATATTGGACGCAATCCTCGGGATATCAAGGTTGTGGCGGGTGCGTTGGTGATCGTTGCCGAGACGGACGAGGAAGCGAATGCCAAGTTCGAGGAGCTAAAGACGTACGGCGATCGGGAGGGCGCACTTGCTCTGTTCGGTGGTTGGACTGGATACGATCTGTCTACCTACTCTGATGATCAGGACTTCCGTTTCGTGGAGCTTCCTGCTGTTCGCAGTATGGTAAACCACTGGGCTAGTACGGTGCCCGGCACCGAGGGTCAAAAGTGGGATAAGAAGACCATTGCTGAGTATTTGGTGCTCGGTGGTAATGGCGTTAAGATTATTGGAAGTGTGAAGACGGTGGCGGATGAGCTGGAGCGATGGGTGAGCGTTGGCGATGTTGACGGGTTCAATCTCAGTTATGCTAGTCTTCCTGATACCTTTGACGATGTTATTCGTTTGCTATTGCCGGAGTTGCAGCGCCGTGGTCTGTTCTGGTCGGATTATGCTGTCAAGGGTGGAACTTTCCGGGAGAACATGTATGGGAAGCAGGGTCAGTCCAGGCTCCCTGATGCGCACCCTGGCGCGAAGTACTTCTGGAAAGAGGGCCAGGAAGTGCCTCCGTATTCATTGGAGGAGTCGAATTAGCATGTAGCATATTTGTAAACAAATCGAAAACTTCTCATCCCCTTCTCATTGTCGAATCATATTTTTTTTATGATGCAATTAGTTTCTCGGGCTGGCAGTGTATAGCCACCAAAGGGATAAATTGTGGAATCTGCTGGCAAGCAGTGCCTAGAACTTCAGGGGATGTCAGCCCCGTCGAATGCACCCGATGGATCGCTAGCTGAAACTGCTTTGTTTGAAAACTTAAGACGACGACTGAATTATTGGTGCTTCGCGAGTTCGGACCGGATGCTTACTTTGGCTAAGCACTGGCGCCTTGGGTGAACGAACAAGTTATATACGGATGTATTGAGTCCATATATCTTCTGAATTAATTCATATTTTTCATCCAGCACTATAATGGAAGAGGGATGGTCTCGAGTACTAGAAATTATCCGGTACGTCTAACTTCCACTCTACTCAAACATCCCACCATCCCTCCATGTGAGACTTCAAATCAATCTCCTCTGGCAATCTCAGATGAGGCGTCAGTTCCGCATTAGGAGTCAGCTCTTTCGAAGTCCACCCATTCCCAAAGTAAGCAAACCGATTCCCACTTTGATTGACATAGGTATATTCCCAATCCTCCCAGCGCGGATCCCGGCGAATATAATTCGAATGCGATGCACTACCGGGGAAGAGGCCATGAATACGAGACCCCGGCTTGCCACCGTTATACCACGAGCTACAGTTCGCCGACCAGACAGTGCGCGGGTAGAACTGGTCGCAGTACTCGACAAAGTCATCGGTCGCTTGCTTGGCCGGGACGATGGACTTGATTCCCTGCGTGCGGATCTTGCGCAGCACTTTTGCGATATATGTCACCTGGTTCTCGATGTTGTTCGGCACTGTCCCGCTGTGTCCTGACGAGTATGGTCCACCGAGCCAGAGGAGGTTTGGGAACCCTGGTGTTGCAAAACCAAGGTATGAATATGGGAAGCCGAATTTGCCGTCGTGTTTCCAGGCTTTCTTGAGGTCGACTCCGTCGGCGATGATGGAGAATGGGGGTGCGTGATCGACGTTGGCTCCTGTTGCGCAGATCGTGATGTCCACTTCTCGCTCCACCCCATCCTCGGTCACAATGCCTTTCTCGGTGAATCGCTTGATGCGTGTTTGGATGTAGTCGACATTTTCCTTGGCTAGGGCCTCTAGATATCCTGGTCCTGGCGTTGGGCGACGGCACGCTGGGGGAAGTCTGGGATGATCTTTTCTGCTAATTCTGGCTTTCCTGCAATACGTTGCAGCATTAGGGCCGTCCATTTCTCACGCAGTTCGTTGTTTTCGGGTGTGTCTTTGAAGATTGCCCCGAAGCGCTGGAAATATCCCTTTTCGACCTCCCTTCGGTATTCCAGATACGCTTTGGGATCTTTCCATGTCTCTAGCTGTGACTCGGAGAACAAGTTTGCCTCCAGTCGACGGACTCCCACGCTTCCGCTGCTGAATGAATCTGCGATCCAAGTTGGATTCCGAGCGTAATGATCAACGTGGCTAGCAAATGGTTGAATGGACGGTAGGACCTGCAAGCCGGAAGCGCCATTTCCGATGAGAGCAATTCGCTTGCCTTTCAGATCGATGCTTGGATCCCAGTTAGACGAATGGAACAGATTTCCCTTGTAATCGTTGATTCCTTCATAGTCGGGTAGCTTCCAGGCATTGAAATGACCGATGGCGTTGATTACCACGTCCAGCTCTTCTTCATAGATCTGTTACATGTGAGCATAGAACCTCGAGGATACATCAACCATTTCTCACCTTCGAGCCATCCACATGTTCAACGGTGACATTCCATTTCCCCTTCTCGGGCTGCCATTCGGCCTTTTGCACTCTTTGTCCGGCGCGAAGGTACTGGTACACATTGTGCTTCCGTGCAACTCCCTGCCAATATTGTCTAATCTCATCTCCCTGGGCAAATTCTTCCGTCCATTGGGTATTGGGTGAGATACTGGATTGGTATACATGTGCAGGAATATCGCATCGAACGCCGGGATATGTATTCTCGAACCTGTTTGATCCGAGTTAGCAATTCCCATCAAGACAGCAGAATGGAGAATGTACCATGTGCCTCCCTAAAGAATGTGGGTTAGCTGCGAAACAACGCATCAATTGACAATTACATACCACATCGGCGTTCTTATCATAGATTCGAAGATCAAGTCCCGGCAGTTTCGCAGGGAGCAACACGCCCGCGGTAATCCCTGCAAGACCCGCGCCGATAATACCAACCTTGATGGGTCGCACCACATCAACCGGGTGTTCCTCTAGTTCAAATCGGAGATTCTCAATCTTGTCTGATAATCCGTTGACATCACTCTCCACCGTTACAGTGGTTGGTCCATTCAAGTCTGAAGGACCCTTAATCGATTCTGAGGAAGGTCCGATATTCGACAAGGGATGGGCCACGGGCGATTGCACAAGAGTCATGATGGAATTTTTGTTTTGTATAAGTCTTTAAACAAGCACAGCATAGATATGTAGCACCGCTGTCGCCCGAGTTGGATATACCGGCATTCTTGTAGACGATTTGACACCCCGCGCCTGCACGCCATGTGCAACATTTCACACGCCACCTGCAAATTGCAATCCTCTTGAATCTGATTTAGAGAGTCGGATAGGCCATAGTGTGATGTTCTCGGGATTGATTTGATGTAGCTAACACCATCGCGGTCCGCGATGACGTGCCGAGGGGGTTATCGCGAACACCATTCACTCCACTACCCACGCCATTGCGGAGTACATTGGGGTATTGGGGTATTTGTTTGCAATTTGCATGTCGCCATTCGATATCTCGGCCGAGCGACTTGGGAATATTCCTATCTTGTACATGCCAATGAATTTTTAAGTCTTGGAAGTTCTGGAAGTTCATATATTTCCCATAATGCTAAGGCTATGGTTAGCATAGATTGAGCTCGAGGACGTAGGCTGCCCAGTGTGACATGGTTCATGTGAAGATGTTCGGGAATGTGAGATTCTATACGAAATTGGGGTTTAGGGAGATGGGAAGGAGAATGCAGAACCAATGACCAAATATAGATCGTCTGGTACCCCAAACGCAGCATGAATTTCAGTGATGTGAATAGTCAGATAAGAGCTTGTCTTGATCCGATCAAATAAAAACGAGTGATTTGGCCATTTGCAATTACCGGTTAGTCCATTATAGACATGGGTAAGATGATTGTGCCTTCGAGAATCTTCGTCAGAGCATCTTCGCTGTTGCAGTGCAAAGCCTTTCGACTTGGTTTTTGCTAGACAGGTCTGGACGTTCTGAAGAGACAAAATTGACTGTATCTCTATCGGCCATTGAGAAAGATGTGGTTAATTCCAGGAGTGTTTTTTTAAGGGGAAACCACAGGGCTATTGCCATGGACCTACGCAATTGACCTCGTCACATGCCCACAAACCCTGTTAATCCATGATTCTAACTTGATAGTCTGGGTAGGTTTAGTGAAAATAACACAGGCAAAAGTGAGTAGGGTTGAAATAAAATTTGGAGGGATGAATCGTGAGATTGAATGTCCTTGATGTAATCCACAAGAGCGAAGCTACTCAAACGCAAAGCTAGGGAATCTCGGCCTCAATGACCATTTCATATTGTTGAGGGTCAGGCCAAAAGTTAACAATTTGAAGCCCAGCATCGGTCAACAGCTTCGTCCATGTGCCTTGTCTTCGCTCGGAAGCCGACAACAGCGACATCATCTCCACGTCCATTGTGGCTTGACTGATGCTCGCTCCTGTTGGCGGAAGAACAATATCATAAATAAAAAGCTTAGAATAGCCCTTGACCATTGCGTCTTTGGTGTTTACAAGCAATTGTTTAGCCTTATGATCTGGCCAATCATGAAGAACTGCGTGCATAAAGTATGCACGACTCCCTGTGGCTTGGGTGTTAGTAGGTATACTTGTGTTTCTGGTCCGGGATTGCTCTTACCTTTTACTGGCTGAGGTAAGAAGAAATCATGAACCATGGCCGTAACCTTCTCATCCACTTGCGCTTTGGCAATCACCTCTGGAAGATCCTGTATAACTAGTGACCCACTAGGAAGGTCTGGATGTTTTGCAAGAACGTGGGAAATATCAATCCCAGTGCCCCCACCGACATCAACCACCAATGGAGAGCCATCGTCCAGCTTGGCACCCTCTAGCAGCTTTGTCGTATCGTAGACCTTAGTCCACGGAGTTTTCCATGCCGTCCAGGCCTCCATGTGGCCATTGAAAGCTTCAAAACAAGCGGGGCTTTTCTGCAACCGGCCAAAGAAGTTGAGACCGTCGGGGTCACTATCCGAGTGGTTATTTGTGTTGATTTCCGTGGGTTCTTTGTAAGATATCTTTGCTAGATAAGTGGGCAGGTTATGGCCAGCAGCAAGGTATTGATTTGTCCTAAAACGTCAAAATTTTAGTATGACACGAGACTAATAGTAGAGGATATTCTTACGCTGCTTGAAGCGAGGCGCGGACCTTGGTGCTCTCATCGCCGATAGCGTTCGAGAACGGGGTTGGTTTAAATCTGTCTTCCGCTGTCTCCTCAACTACGTTGAAAGCAGCCAGCAAGCGAAACAATCGACCTGTATGTTCCATCAGCCTTCCTGGGCTGAAGTATGAATATGATGAAGAGAGGGCTTACGCAGCAGGTTTGTATCGACGGTGGGAGTGGTAAATGCGACTAGATCGTCGATAGACTTCTCGCCTCCAACAGCCGTCCAGGACTCCCAAAGGCCCAAGTCAATGCATGTCTGTAGAGCGGCAAAGACGACAGGCTGTTCAAAGCAGAAGCCCCAGGCACGCTCATATGGGCTCTCCACCCTAGCAAGTAGTCGACGTGCTGCAGCGCGTACCTTTAGACGCTCGACTTCGTTGCCGCCAAACAACTCGGGTTGAACAGCGTCTAAGGAGTCAATTATCCTGTTCGTTTCAGATGGCAGTCGATCTGCTGCATGGGATTGGATGTGCTCTACTCCATTGCCCTTAAACCATTTAGGCTTAGCTGCAGCAAGTGCTGAAATGATTCCCGTCAAATATGACATGTTTCCAGGGGTTGGACAAGGGACAACTAGGATAATGAAATGGTATTGATCAGATTGACTCAAGCTACAATATAAGTGTGACCCGAACTTTTGAAATTACACTAAAGGTCGCGACATGACCTCCAGGGAATTGCCTAGCTAAGGTCAATTCTCAGCGGATTACCTGGTTCGGGTAGATGTGCGAAGTTAACGTCTCGGGACTTCCAAGATTAGTCCATAGACTCACCAGTACAAGGTTCAGTCTAACTCCCCCTCTATTTGATTTGTGATAGATAGCCTACATTCTCGAGGGGATACTCAGCCATTCAACCACATCCAGAAATGATCGCCATGTGACGGCCGCACCACTGCATGGGTAATATATCCGGGGAAGCGGGAGTCAGTGCCTTTGCGCTAGGCCAGCCCGTCATCTGTCAAGCCATAGAAGACTTGGACTTTTGTGTCTGGAACTAGAATTGAGAAGTACAAAGTGCCGTTGTACGTTTGGTAATTAGATCGTCCACAAATCTAACCCGACTATCTGGCTCAAGTTCGGAATCACATTCCTATTTCAAGGTTGAATTTCAAGACTCAACTGGCCGTACTCCTCGACTCCGAATTTCGATCTTTTTAAACAGGATATACGTTGAAGCGCATAGCCTAGCAAAATGAGAAGGTGCTGGACGTGTTCTTCACAATCCTCACTTCTCCTCCACCCCATCCTCGTTCATGTCAGACCCACATCTGTCTAGACCCTGTGCTGGGATAGCTCACAATATGATCATCTTTAAAATGACCTTTCATGTTCTAATAAGTCAGATAAATGTGGGTCTGTGGTGTGGAAAGGTCAAAACTCTTGTAAGCTACGGAATACAAAGTACGAAGTACGTGCACGTTCTTTGTACCTATTGTAAAGCTTGTGCATAATGGCCTAGTAGGGGTCCTTACAAAGCAATGAAACATAACGGGGTTCGATACTTAGGTCATAATACACGTCGCTGCGGATCATTGATAGGAAACAACCTCGCTCAGGGGACATTGCTGGAGTCTGGCATACCTGTCGACAACAGGAATTGATGTATCTTAGCGTATAGCACATAGTAACACAAAACTTCTACACTATTAAGCTGGAGGTTGAATCCAGTTGTCTACAACAAAAGCAGCGTTGTCATTATCACTCAACGATCCTTCTATTTTGTTCTGAACCTGCAGTCATCATCAATATGGGTATGTATGGAGGCTTAGGACCTATGACCAATGCAGTTCTCTGGGTGGAAGTTGTTGTATTTGCACTCTTTGTAGGGCTAAGGCTCTATACCCGAAAATACATTCTGAACTCCGTGGGTCTTGACGATTATCTAGTTTTGATGGCACTGGTGAGAACATAAACCATAATACCGCTTTGTGCTCATTCTAACATGTTACAGGTGTTGCATATACTTTACACCGTTTTTGTCACAGTAGCAAGCGTTTACGGCCTCGGGAAATTATACGCTGATGTCGGTGATCCATCCATCTATTTTACGGCTGTCAAGTACGAGCTATTCAGCCAGGTAGCTGGAATCATGGTCATTGGGGTGGGAAAAGCGGCTGTCGGGGTGTTCCTACTTCGAATTGTGCGGAATAGAATCCAGATCTGGTTTATCTGGGCTTGTCTTGCTATCACGGCTTTTATCACGCTTTTCGCCAGCATAACTGTTATAGTGCAGTGTATCCCAGTTGAGAAATCCTGGAACCCAACTACGCCAGGCCACTGTTGGCTCGACTTTTCCAAGGTTGGTTACACTGTTGGATGTGAGTGCTAGTTGCCCTAATTGTCTACATGAATACTAATCCTGGGATTTTACAGCATGGTTTGTCGCCGCTGACTTCTCCTTTGCGATTCTTCCATGGTTTGTTGTCTGGGATCTCAATATGAAACAGAAGGAAAAGTTCACAGTTGCCTGTGGTCTCAGTCTTGGAGTATTGTGAGTCCCGGAATACTCCACTCTTTTGAATATCAATCTGACGACCACACCCTAGTGCTGGAGTATGTGGCATTATCCGCACTAAAGCTCTGGGAGGACTGAATGCGTCTGAGTACATATGTACGTTCTCTAAATCTTTTTTTTTTTTTTTTTTTTTTCATGATAGAGCTGATCCGACTCTAGATGATACGGTACCGATGCTTATCTGGTCTGCTACTGAAAGCTGCGTCACGATCATGTGTTCGTCAATCCCCGTCCTCCGTCCTCTCTACATCCGCGTCAAATACGGGAAGGATGGCAAGAGCAGCTCTTCAGAAAATACCTCCTACAAACTGCCAATATATGGCAATGGTCGAAGATGGGGCAAGTCTTCCAAATCTGGCCTTGAATCTACAGCGGACGAGCGGAGTAATGTCTGCCACACAACGGTCATGAAGAATAACACAGAGAACGCCAGCAATGAGAATATTCTTCGAGGTGCTGCGGGTATTGAAAGGACGGATGAGATCACAATTAGTTATGAGCAATTTGCCAAGAAAAGTTAGAGATGGATTCACAGATGGGTTCACAGATGGATTCTCGACCCAAAGCCATGCAATTTGCAAGTCAATTTTTTTTTTTGGATACTACACTCCTTGTAGGCTGTTTTGCCAAGAAAGTGGGTTCAATTCGTAATGTTGTTGTATGTTTGTTCTATAGAAATGATTGGTCAACTTGCAGATTTTCAGGCGTCTGACTCAAATGATCAACTAGGCACTAGACTACAATTTCTTCAACTACCAACAAAATCGTCTTAAAATACCACCCCATTTCTTGAAGCCCAATTACATATCTTTCGGCACACAACCCAGACAACCCAGCAGTCAACAACCCTTCACAACCGCGATGTCCTCTGCCCCGCCAACAAGTGACCTCCCACCTAAAACATGGACGCGAGATACCAATCGTGAATTCTTCATTTCAACCGAAAAAAGCCTACTTTCTGTCAACGCGGTCAGTGCCGCATTCGATAGAGACTTCATTTACTGGGTCCACCAGCCGTTCCCAGATGAGGTGCTGTGGCAGATGCTCCACGGGTCCTTGAGTTTCGGCGTGTACAGGTGGACCCAACCCATAGAATCTGTAACTGATTCTACCACGCCGTCTTCGGAAAACACCGAGCAGGTTGGACTTGCTCGTATGGTCACAGATGGCTGTTCGTTTGCTTATCTGTCGGATACCTACGTTCTCCCCGAGTACCAAGGCAACGGACTTGGGAAATGGCTTGTGGCGTGTGTTGCTGAGGTCTTTTCCAAGGAGAATATGCCATATCTACGTCGGATTATGTTGCTCACTGATGACGAGCGCATGCAGGCTTTCTACAAAAAGATGTTTGGGGTGAAGGTCATCGGCCATGAAGAGCGAAAGGACAGGAATTTGGTGTTTATGTGTGCCAGACCAAATGCACAGGTAGATTGAAACGGCTACTCCGAATTTGGTGCTTGGTACTTGATATGCGAGCGAGGAAGCGAAACTTGTGGCCCTGGTAGCTCATATTCATCCTTTCACTCTCTACCAGGGAAGTTGCAAAGGAGTTGGCAGGTTCTTCCCAAGAACAGCTTCTGCGGTGCCGATATCTCTGTGGATAGATTAGCCTGGTTCCTGATACTAGATCAAATATCTTACTTTGGTCCTCCTGGCGCCCAGAATTCTCCAGTTTTGCTAAGATCGAACTCTTCAATGAAAGACGCAAGCGTTTTCGCCGCTTCATCTGGCGTCACGGCTGTTTTCGAATAGATATCGGGTTAGATATACCAATTTCCCGAGGCCTTTTTTTTGCAAGACCTGTAAGAGTAGTACATTGGTCACTCACCTCCACCTGCATCCCAGTACTTATCGAATCCAACGCTCTTCGTCATCTCCGTCCGCATAAATCCAGGATGTACGAGACCAACTGCAATTCCCTTCGGCTTCAAGTCCAGACTCAAAAGCTTCCCGACCATATTCAAAGCAGCCTTGCTGGCATGGTGGCCAAAGTTACCTCCGCCTTCTGTCTCATGGCGCAGTGTGATGCTGCCGCTCTCGCTGCTGAGGAGGATCACTTTACTCCCCTGGTCTAACAATCCGGCTTTCACGAGATTGTGTACCACAAAGACGGGTCCAATTGCAGAGGTTGTATACATTTGAACCTGCTTCTCCCAATCTGGAGAATCGAATGTTTCAAAGCCAAAGTATCCGGCGCTGATTATGACGGTTGAGATCTTTGTAGCTGGAAACTGCGAAACAAGCTTTTGGCCCACATCTGGTTGGGAGATATCAATTCCTGTCAGCCAGGTGACCCCTGGGCTTGGCTCTGGGTTGGAGGATCGGGAGGTTGCAAACACATGGGTCGCTGTCTTTGCGGAGTATAGTGTCCGCAAAGAGGCACCCAATCCTCGAGTGGCACCTAGGATGAGGACGTTATTTGTCATTTTGTAGGTTGAAGTAACATGAAGATATGGGTTTAGGAACGTCTTTATATTATCGACTGGGCACGCCATTGGGATGACGTAATGACGTAATCCCTCCCGCAAGGCGTCTACATGCATCGATGTAGACTTACAAGGGCTCTATGTACAGCCAATTGCTTCTGTACAACACATATAAGTTATATATAACTTGTTTTCTCCACATATCATATTTGTATCAAATCACTTTCTACAGTTAGGTGGAACTATTTTTTTATTGGACGTTACTCTCGGGTATTTTGTCTAGTCCTTCTACGGCGTATTGGCAGTCGACACAAAAATCAAGCCTGATGTGTCGCACTGGAAGTATTATCATACAATTTTGCGCTTGGATGCTACGATGCTAGTCGATCTGTCAATCGGAGTGGACCATCGAGTGGCTTAGTCATGTACTATTTAAGGACGAGATCTACCTGATAACTAGTGGCCCCTTCAGCCAGCCGGTTTTTATCTCCATGAGCCTCTGCAAAGTGCGCCTCTCGTTGGGAGCCAATCGATTCATGTGTTCTAGGGCTCAAGGATGACTGGCTTTGCCAAATTCGCCCTCTCCGTTCAAAAAGTCCGGGCTGCAATCCATAGCAGGGGAAAGTCAAGTGCAAAGGAGCAGCGTGGATCGTCTCCGAAGTAAGATCTTTTTGCGACAATCCGCGAAAACCCACTGACCCAGCTTCCCTACCAGAAAGAAACATGCAGGTCTTGCTTTACCTGTTTCATCTCCATGGGACCTCCCCGTTGAGATTCAAGTTCGCATATTTGCATATTCCGGCATCACCGACTTCCATCCACTGAGACTCGTCTGCAAGGCTTTTTGCCAACTGCTCACCAGGAATGAACATGAAATTGTCCGCCAGTATCTCCGCTTACGTCGCCACGGCACCCTCCCATCCCCGATTGACGATGATCGTACCTATACTCGAAACCCAAGCGACGATGTGGTGCTATTGTCAGACCTATTCCCGCCGTCCAAAAGCGCTAGAGGCGGCCATCTCTACACCTTCAAATACTTGCATGGGCTGAGACGAAGGCAAATGCTATGCTCGAGGCTCTGCTACTACTTGGCAGATCGAATCCTCGATCGGTTCGTCCAGACCGAACCGGCCGTCATGAGGGCCTCGTTTCCTGCAAAGCGAAACGAGCGCAATGCCCTTGTCAAACGTGGCGTAGCTAGCATACGGTTCCACCTTGCACCGCTCATGTAAGAACATCGGGAAATGCTTTACTCCAGCAAATCACTGACTCTTCTCTACCAGGTATTATACACTCTATTTCCTCGAATCATACGCATCCGTCCGGCGCGAGCACACACACACCCTCGTACAAAAGTATGAGGCAGGTCATCTGCCTGTACCCCTCCCACTCGAGGTACGCCAGAGGATGTACCGCGAGCTACAAACCCGGATCCTCCAAAGCCCTCCCTTTACCAACACGGCGGCGCTGGTTGCGACACACCACTGTATGCATTTGCTTGTTTCATACATACGCTTCGCCATGTCTCCAGATGGTCAAACTGAGATTGATGACTCGTGGGTTAGCTCGTTGCTCACATTGGCGCCGTTTGTGCGGATCGTCGAGTTTTTCTCCGCTGAGATCGGGGACGGTGGGAACCAGCGAACACAACGCAAGGACTTTATGTATAACTTCTATAATGATATGACGAAGTATGAAAAGGACCATATGAATTCGGTTGTTTTTGCGCGCGCGTCTGCCCAGAACTTGCATACTTCGGTGCAAGATATCTGGTTTGCTGCTGCTGAAGCTGAGTTGAAAGCCCGGCAAGCCATACCACACGACGTAGAGCACGTCTGGATTTGGAATGGTATTCCAATTGTTTTTGGGTGTCCGGATTGCCATCCCACGAGAGGATGGCAGGCATGATACATTGGAGGCGCCTGGCGTCAAGATTCTTATACTTGGGATAACCGGAGTTGGATAGATGAACATTTTAGCCAATTTCATTTGAATTAGATTTCATTACTATTTTATTTCTCTTCTCAAACTAAAAGAACTGTGCTGGCAGTTGTGGTCGATGTGATTTACTCCGTACCTAGGGAATTGATAGTGTTTGCTTTGTTTGCAACTGGCACGCGTCGCTATGTACATCGCCAAGTATCAATCTTCCTCGACGATATGCTTCAATTGTAGCATAAGGATTAGCCGAGAAAACTCCCAAATTGGCTTCCATGGACCAAGCAGACCCACGGCAGTTGTTCAACACTTCTTGGACTATCCACCGTCTCTCCCCTCTCCATCATGGGAAGGACTGTGAGACCCTCCTAGATGACCAGGTCGCCTTAAAAACATATGCAACGCGTCTACGTGACCATATCACAGGTGATGTCCTTGCTGGTATTCATACAAACACTGGTGCAGCAGACGACAATGCGCTCTCCAAGACAGGCGCCCTAAAAGATTGTCTATGGCGGGCAATATCTCCTCAATCATTGCGCGACGAAACGCCAAGCAGATCCCAGAATACCACATTTCCTGGTATTCTAGTAACGCTAGAATACGAAAATATCGTCTACAAAGCAGCTTTGCTCGCAGACATGGAATCATCTCCAAATCATCGCACGGGATCCACATCCCTCCCTCTTCTTCTAACCAAATTCCCAACTGCACTTCGGCAAACATTCCTCACATTCCTATCTACCAATTTCGACACTTACTGCTCGCCTCTCAGACTGCCGTCCAGTTTTCTCTGCGCGGGTCTAGAGACATACGTCGATACCCTGCGCACTCAACAGCCAAATACAAGTGACACAGTCGAAGATGTTATCAAAGAGTTACACCTCACATTGTCTTTTTCATCGTCGATCGCACCGGAGCTAAGATCTCTCAATGTCAGTGTCGCGCGCGCTTCACTAGCGGGTTTCCTGCGCGATCAGCCTGGACAGTCAGCGCCGAAGTCACGCAGTCTTCAGCATAAACTACGCAGCCCTTTCATCGGCAATCTTACTTCGTACCTGGAGACACATCTTGCCATGAAGCTGGATCTGGATGGGTCGTCTTCGAAACAGGTCACTAAGCAGCATGTGCGGCTCTCGAAGGTTGCCTGTGCTGCTTTCGTCTTGGGTAGTGAAGGACGTGTGAAGCTGGTTGTGGCTGATAGGGATTCTGGGGATGGGGACGAGGGCTCTCAAGCTCGAGGCTACAAGAATCAACTTGCTTTGGAGGCAGGGGAATCGCTTCTACGGTCGGTGATCCGGAAGGCTGTTGTGGAGGATCATTCGGCCACGTGAACTTCTGGAAGTTTTTCTGTGCCAGTGAAACTGGGACACGTTACAATATCTATGGAGCTCAGAACGAGCAGTCAGTCTGCAGTGCAAACCCATCAGTATGACCTGCCTGGATCCACAGAGCCCATGGCTTTGTTCTCGGGGCTTATCAATCTACTGGACTCGTCACCAATACACCACGGCACACCAAGTGCGAACCGGGGCAGCTAATCTGCAGCTACTAGCGTCATTCTTTGACCCAGTGCTTTATCACACCGGCATTGCGGATACTGCAATGCCGATTTCATCGCCAAGATGGCACGCTCAGGAGAGCTGATTGTGGCACATAGCAAATCATAACGGCTTACTGCAGTTCTCATTGAACCGAATCTGCTTGTTTGGGAAGAGATAATTGATCATGTCCTCTTGTCTCCTTGATAGGCGTTGCTCTATGACAAAACGTCAGGTAGAGTAACATTCATGATTATTTTTTAGATAACCGAAATGTAATATATGTCCGCAGAAACATCCAAACCGTATCCAAACACACGTCACCGATTTTTAGCAAGATATATATAGATGGAGACTATATTTCCTGAGTCTGGTTCTCAGATTCCGCCAACCGCAGCGCCTCATCAACGCTGGGCACGAAATGAGTTAATCCACCACACTCCTCAACAATACCACTCCGCTGAAACATGCGGAATACCTCCCTAGTTGGCAAACGGCAGAAGAACACTCTGACGTGTTCCTCCGTGTACGCGTGTACAATCTCCGAGAGAACCTGGGTACCAGACCCATCGATACTCGTAACGCCATGAACGTCGAAAATGATATTTTTATTATGCTCCGGGTCGCGCATGCGCGGCAGAGAGGGGTGGGTATGACTGGAGCCGTAGAGTTCCAGACGCCGCAGGCGGTTCTTAAGATCGCCCGTGTTCGCAAATGTGAGGGGTTCGGGAATCTTAACGATCAGGGCGCCTTCAATTAGCTCCACATTTTCTGGGTGGAGTTCGGCGTTGTCAAAGCGAGCGGACGTGCCGAGAACCTTGCCCAGGATCTGGATGCGAGGGTGTGTTGCGTGTCGGATGAGGATTATCACTGACAGGCCCATTCCCATCGCCATGCCTAGTTCTAGGGAGTAGAAGATCGTTGTTGTGAAGATGAGGACCATGAGAACAATCTCTGACCAGCCCCGGAGGCGGATGAAAAAGAGGAGGTCATGCGGGCATTCTTCCACTAGAGTGAAGGCTACAACGGAGATCATGGAGCACAACACTGCTTTCTATAGGGGGACATCATCGTCAGCACTCGGAAAAAGCACACAGGTATGGTGTAGGTAGGGTTGAGAGGGACGAACCGGGAGGTAGTAGAGATAAGGCAAAAGCACCATCACACATGTGAATGTGATGATGCTCAGGAAAACACTAGCCATAGGTGACCGTGCACCTGTCTGTGAGCTGAGCTTGCTTCGCCCGTATCCACCAAATGCAGGCAGAGCGGAGAAGCAACCTCCAACGACGTTGGCGAAGCCTAGTGCAACCATCTCGCGATTGGCACTCATGAACATTCCCTTGATTCCATTAGAATTGCCTTCGCCCAACCCCTTGGCCGCAACAGATGACTCAAAGAAGCCAAGTAGCGCGATAATAAACGATTTGCTCAATGCTGTGCGCACATGTTTCATACGCGCAAACTGGAAAGGCCAATTGAATGCGAATAGTCCTCCAGACCCGACCTCTGTAGGTCCAAGAATTTCGAGCCCTTTGGCTTCCCAGTCGAGGTGCCAAGCCAAAACCGCCGACAGAGCAACAACCAAGAAGCGGTCTGGGAAATAAATCACTTGAGGGATACGTGGTACAAGCATCTTTTTCAAAGTTCTGCGGAGGATCAGTATGATGAATGTAAGCTCGGGGGCGCGATACGTACCTGAACACCATGATGACACTAAAGCTAACAATCGAAACGATAGCAGTTAGTCCATGGCACTCTCGAGCGTAGCGAATGATGAAAATAAGTTTTTCAACACTGGTGCCATGGCTGACACCGGATTCTTTGGCATGCTCGGCCAGACCCAATTCAGGGATAAGCTGGTCAACAAAAATCACAAAGCCGATGGCAGTGATGAATCCTCTCAAGAATGGTCGGCTGAGCACATTGTCCAAAAACCCTAGGCGGGTCAGTCCGGCAATCAGTATCATGCCGCCGGACATAGCAGTAGCCACTCCTACGATAAGAGCGGTCTCTGTAAGGTCGTCCTCGCCTGAGATTCCTTTCATGACACTTGCTTTGACAATAGCACCCGTTAGTAGGGATCCCGCGGCCTCCGGTCCAACTACCAAGAGAGGGCAGCTTCCTAGGATGGCATAGATCATGGGATGGATGACGAAAGAGTAGAGGCCGCTGATGGGTGGTGCATGGGCAAGATTGGAGGCCAACGAGAGCGCCATCGGGATGTAGATGGACGCCACAGTCAATGCAGCCATGAGATCTCCGCGCAGGAATGACCAATGATATTGTTGAATCCAATTGAAAAAAGGAATATAATACGATATGTATCTGCCATTGTTTCGTCAGCTACCAGTCCCAAGATAGGCTACGAGAGTGCTCGTAGGGCATGAATAAGATACAACCTACTGCTTATTCGTGTCGGTTATTGGAAAAGTGAAAGATGATTTCATCTGTGACGGAGTCTCTGAATCTGGGACTGACTCCGGGTGGTCTACTACACCTCTAGGGCGACCGGTCGCGCCGTCCGCCACTTCGTGTCCGTTATATCCACTTGCATCGCCCGACCCTCCAATATATGACTGTCTTCCCACATCTTCTACCTGGGGCGAGAATGTGCCATGGCTGCAGCGCCTTTCACCGCATGCAGGACCGGCCTGGAGGTATGACTCCAGAAGCCGGGTTCTCACATCTGGTTCGCTTGTAACCCCAGTGCCGGTTTGGCTGTCCTGTGCCGTGTGATTATCATGGCTAGAATTTGTCGAAATCCCAAGGCCGGCTTGAGGTGATGAACGAAAAGCGTCGACAATGCGGTCTCGTAGAGTCCGACGTCCAACTCCGTCGGACTCCCCGGGGAGTAACGAACTGGTCTCAGACATGATTTGGAAAGTGATTTGAGGAGCGTTAGGTCGAAGAGTTAGACATGAACTCGCCCGCCATAAATGCCGGTTATAATATTATGTAAAAGATTGAAAGCAATTGTAATAACCCCAGCCCCGAATTGTTTTATCGGCCAGGCAAGGGCGCGCTAGACCGATAAGCGGGGAACGCAGGCGTTATCGTTAATTTAATGCGATCCTCGGAGAATGACTATGCAATGAAGAGGTAGAGCATGGTCTTAGAAGAACTTCAGGGAATCCTCTGATTTGTAGAAAGGTTGGGTGTCATCAAGTACTAAGAGTATAAAACCTTAAAAACATGGCCGTCTTGCCGTTGATTTCTGTTGACGTAATTGATTGATGTGCCAGCCAAGATCAACATTGGAAGGCGGTGTGGATAACACCACGTGACTATTAACCACGTGACTATTCAGGTCAATGTGGGTTTTGAAGTCCGCCACAAAGAGATAGATTGTGCCTCATTCACGTCGCCTATCCCCTCTGCGCTCCTGTTTTCCGGACCATACGATCACTCATATTCCATTGGTCACCGCCTCGATCGTCTCGATTGTGCCATCAAATCCGTCCCTTTTGCACCTAAGATTTCCCCGAGAAAAAAAAACAGCACCCCGCCAAGATGTCTTTAACAAACTGTCGGTTCTATGAGGAGAAGTACCCGGAGGTGGACAGCTTCGTCATGGTGAATGTCAAGCAGGTATAGATTAACTGAATCTTGAACTGGGAAACCAAAGCAACTGGGACTGATTTTTGTGTGAAACGAGCTAGATCGCCGAGATGGGCGCATACGTGAAGCTGCTTGAATACGACAACATCGACGGCATGATCCTCCTCTCAGAACTTTCCCGCAGACGTATTCGCAGTATCCAGAAGCTCATCCGTATTGGGCGCAATGAGGTCGTCATCGTGCTTCGTGTCGACAAGGAGAAAGGCAAGCATATCCCATTTGCTTGGTGGAACCTGAGAACTAACTTGTCAACTTGAAGGTTACATTGATCTGTCAAAGCGACGTGTGTCCCCGGAGGATGTCATCAAGTGCGAGGAGCGTTACAACAAGAGCAAGGCAGTGCACTCCATCATGCGCCACGTCGCAGAGGCCACTCAGACCCCACTGGAGACCCTATACGAGACCATCGGGTGGCCTTTGAACCAGAAATACGGCCACGCGCACGATGCCTTCAAGATCTCCATTACGTATGTTCTTGTTCTTTTTATCTCATGATAGGATTTGAACCCCTCTGACAGCTATTTTCTAGAAACCCCAATGTCTGGGATGAGATCACCTTCCCCAACGCTGCTGTCAAGAGCGAGCTGCAGCAATACATCAGCAGCAAGCTGACTCCCCACCCTACCAAGGTCCGTGCCGATATCGAGGTTACTTGCTTCGGTTACGATGGAATCGATGCCGTCAAGGATGCCCTCCGTACCGCTGAGGCCGACAACACCCCCGAGAACCAGATCAAGGTCCGACTGGTCGCTCCCCCTCTCTACGTCCTGGCCAGCCAATGTCTCGACAAGACCCTCGGTGTCAAGTTGCTTGAGGCTGCCATTGTGAAAATTGAAGAGCGTATCAAGGCGAACGGCGGTAGCTGCACCGTCAAGATGGCTCCCAAGGCCGTCACTGAGCACGACGATGCGATCCTGCAGGAGCTTATGGAGAAGCGCGAGCGTGAGAACACTCAGGTCAGCGGAGATGAGGACTCGGAGAGCGATGAGGGCGTTCCCGAGTAAGTAACGGGTTACAACTTCGAGTCGAGGGGCATACAGCGGTCATCAGCGCTAGAATTCAAAGCTGGAATCACCGCTAGAGGAGAGAGTTGGTCAAAGATGGATAGAAAAAGCTTGCACATATCGGAGAAAGGCTCGATGGGCCAGTGTACTGATGGGCAGGATTGCAGTCAGAACTCGCTCTTTAGCCAGGGCTGTCGCCTGAACTTCGGGTCTGGGGATGATATATCCACGCCAATGCATGCGCTGGATGCCTATTAGGGTCGAAATTCTCGTTCCCACCGTCTGTCAAAGACGGGTCCACACAGGGTACAAGTTCTGATACACATAATGTTTGCGATGCAACCGAGACGTTCAATGCCAGTCATGCTTTAAATGCAAATCGTATCCTTGTAGAGACATAAGTACGTGTAGATCCAATGTACATAAATCCCCCTTGAATCGAGATTTATTAAATGGCGGGGAGAGCTGAAGCTTATCTATCGCCGATCATCATTGGCCCCCCTCAAGCCAAAATCGGTGAACGAAACTTTCCCCCCCTTCACTCTTCTTGTTTTCCATTTCTCATTCTATGCGATATGGGACATTGGACAAATCTATTTACCGCCGATCGTGGCAGGACTCGGCATCGTATCGAGGTGGAACGTCGTCGGTGTACGTCATCGTCCAACGCGCTGAGGAACACGGCTAACAAGTCGCAGTGCTACCTGCCTATGTTGCCGATGAGTCTGATGCCTCTGATGCTTCAAAGGAAATTGCAAAGGTTGCTCTTCGGTTAAAATATCAAATCGAGCAGGTTGTCTCCTGTGAAGTAGAGGAGAATGTCTTGACCGACCCAAACAGCCGTATCATCACGGATGATGTGGTTGCGACTGCTAAGCAGGCGGGTGGAGATGAATACAAAGCATGCGTTGTTTATTGTCTTCTGGTTTGTCTGCGATGGTTCAAGATGCAATCATCTGTCGAGCTTTGGGATTCAGATCTCCATGAGATTCGGGCTGTGGCTTGCGAGGTCATCGCCAAGCGCATGTAATTGCTTCTTTTGCCATTTCGCGTTTTGTGCTATTCACTAACTGAAAACAGCATCGAATCCGAGCAGAACCAAGATTACGTGCTGAGAGACATCTTACTCAAGCGATACTCTATCTTCAGTGAAGGTGTAGAGACTGATCCCGCCAATGTCATTGAACGATCGGTAGATCTTCATGCCTTGAGGATCATCAGCTGTGCCCCGTACCAGAAATGTATCCAGTACCTGTGGAGAGGTTGGATCTGTCAGGAAGAGGGCAACCCAACTAACTTTGTCGAATACAGCGAGAAGGATAACACCGATTATTGGGTTCATTTCCATCCTGATCGGATGCGAACTCCTCTGTATCAGAATGTCTGCCAAATTTTGTTTTCCTTGATCTACCTTGCGATTTATACCGCTGTTATCAATACCGTGAACCCAACCGGTGATCTGGATGTGGCCGAGGCCATACTTTACGGAATGACTCTTGCGTTCATCTGCGACGAGGGGATCAAATTTTGGAAGGTTGGATGGAATTATCTGGAATTCTGGAATGCCTTCAACTCAACCCTCTACACTATCCTGGTGGTCTCCCTTGCACTGCGTTTTGTTGCCTTGGCACACTCATCGTCTACCCACGATGAACAAAGGCAGATATACAATGAGCTCAGCTACAACTTCCTCGCCTTTGCAGGCCCTATGTTCTGGATACGCATGATGCTATATCTTGACTCGTTCCGCTTCTTCGGTGCTATGTTTGTGGTTCTTCGAGTCATGATGAAAGAGAGTTTGATATTCTTCGCCCTTCTATTTGTGGTTATGGCTGGCTTCTTCCAGGCCTTTGTCGGCATGGCCCAAGTGGATCCCGATATCCCCCTCCACCGAAACATTCTCCAGGGAATGATTAATAGTATCATGCAGAGTCCCGAGTTCGACACTTTCCAGGAATTTGCATTTCCCTTTGGCATCATCCTCTACTATGTGTTCAACTTCATTGTTATGACTAGTAAGTTTACATGCAACTTGTTTTGAGGTGATGTTAACAATTATCAGTTTTGTTGAACATTCTCATCGCCTTATACAACAGCGCATATGAAGATATCTCTGGCAACGCCACGGACGAGTACATGGCCATCTTCGCGCAGAAAACCATGCAGTTCGTCCGCGCCCCAGATGAAAATGTCTTCATCCCACGTACGTATTTACTCAATTCAGATATAGCACAAATGTGACTAATTTTCTCTGGGTAATAGCGTTCAATCTCGTTGAGATTCTATTTCTGATCGCCCCATTCGAATGGTGGCTTTCGCGGGAGGCTTACGCCAAGGTGAATGATATTGTAATGGGCGTGATATATTCGCCGCTGCTGGTCGTTGCCGCCTGGGTTGAGACCCGCCAGGCGCACCAGATTCGATGGAATCGCCGCCATGGCGAAGAAGATGATGACTGCGCTCAGGAATGGGAGCATGTGGCCAAGGAGGTCAATTTTGATCTTGATGATACTTGGAAACAGCACGTAGTTGAGTCCACACCGGATATTAAGGTTGATAGCTGTACACATGAACTCAGAGAGCTGAAGGAGCAGGTTAGGATGTTGACGGAGATGGTGAAGGGATTGACTCAGGAGATGGAAAAGAAGGTGGATGGAGCAAGCTAGGAAGTCCTGAACTGTATAGTTAAGATACTATACTAAGCATCTATGGGATGTTGGATTCACGAGTCATCGTGACACCATCTCCAAGGGATTACATTCGGAGAGATGAGTATTCATGAGAATAAAGTTGCCTTTTTGAGATCCTCAGAGAAAGCCAAGCTCTATCATACATAATCCATACACAGGTATCGCAGTGGACCATGTTATTATTGGCTATAGAGCCACTATCGAGGACAGACAAAATTAGAAGCAATGGCTGGCCCCAGGGGAATAGAGGAAAGAGCACCGAAATTCGAAGCAAGTACCTGTGCTTCGAGTGAATTATGACTATGTGTTTCCTGTAGAGGGCCGCTATCCATTAGACTCCCTCTGTCTCTTTGCCAAAGAAATCCTCCCAGAGTCCAATTTAATCACCAAGCAACCCGCATCGACACCTCAATATCGAGAAATCATTGCACAGCAACAGGCAGAGCAATAATGGAGGCAATCTTCTCCCGTTGACGATCAAGTTGTGAGAGCTTCGCTCGATGGGGCTTGCCAATACCTGTCCGTGGAATTTCGTCCACAAAGATTACACCTCCATCTAGGGCTTTATAGCTGGCTAGTTGGCCTTGAATCAAGCTTGCCACTTGATCTGCTGTAGTCTCGGGGAATGTACCAGTGCGGACGACATAGGCTCGGGGAACCTCGCTGCTGCCATCAGGGAGCATGACGCCGATCACAGCTGCGTCTTTGACACCCGGGTCCGTCAGTAAAATTCCTTCAATCTCTGCAGGGGCGACGGAATATCTAAATCAAGCACGATATGTCAGTCTATCATCAACTGGGTTAGATGTTCTATGGAGGAGAAAGAAGGAGAAGAAGGTAAAAAAGGACTGAGGTTAGAGAATTGGATGACTTGCGCTCGAACTTTGATGAGATCTTTGGTCCGGCCGATGACATGGTAGTTTCCGTCTTGCACATGAAACATGTCTCCCGTCCGGAACCATCCTTGCTCGTCTTTGTCATCGGTCCGCCCTTTATATCCCAAGAGGAGTCCCGGCCCACGGACATACAACTCTCCAGGAGAGTCTGATGTCCCGGCGACATCTTCGCCCGTGTCGGGATTGACAAAGCGCAGCTCGTATCCGGGCAGTAGAGTCCCCACACTGCCGAACTGTGGTGTTACCCCGAAGCGATTCTGGAAAACCACTCCCACCTCGGACATACCCCAAAGATTTCCCGCTACAGCATCCGGTGACAGGAGGCTCTGAAAGTGCTGCATAGAGTGCCCGTCGATGGGGGCACCGGAAATACCGATATAGCGCAGGGTGGACAAGCTCTCAGCTACATGCAAAGAGGACTTGTTTAGAATATGGACCATGGCAGGCACCATGTATGTCTCCGAGATGTGGTGTTGGCGGATGCTGTCGAGGAAAGCGGAAATTTCGAAGCGTGGAAGAACGTACAGAGGCTCGCCGTACCGGATGGGGAAGATGTTGCCCCAGAAGTCACCGAAGGAATGGTACAGTGGCAGTGCCATCAGACGGACGACGGGGTATGGCACTTGGTAGTGAACGCTCAGATGGTGGGAAATGATCGTGTGGTGGGTTCGAATCGCGGCTTTGGGGAGCCCGCTGGTGCCACTAGTTAGGAACATGGCAGCCGGTGTGCTCTTGCTAAGTTCGCTATCCTCGAAACGAAGCCAGTCAGACTCCCCATACTGGAGCAGATTCTCCAAGCGGGTAGATTCGACCGCTGTCTCGGTACTGGGATCCTCCGTCTGCCCCGCCTGGCTGTGTGCAAATTGGACTATGGTTTCGATGGACTGTTCATCCACCAGAAGAGCTTGACTTGAAGGAATTCCCTGCAGGTTGCACACCTCCAAAACCCTGGATAAGGCACTTGGAGCAGTGATAATCAACCGAGGCTCGGCGAGACGAAGCAAATGAGTCAATTCATGTAGAGGACTAGCCACGTCGCAGCCCATATAAACTCCTCCGGCACCAACGATAGCGAAGAAAAGAGCAGAGTGTATGACCTATGTTAATGTTAGGAGCATATCATAATGATGGAGCAGTGTGATTACACTATTCTCTAGTTGCACGAGGACACAATCGCCTCGTTCCACACCCCGGGCTCTGAGGCCAGCAATGAGTGATCGCACCAGCCGTCGGAACTGTATGGCGTTAAAGGCGCGCAGGGGATTCCGGGCGTCGATATAGATGGGCTTAGATGGGTCAAACGCAGGACCACTAAAAGCAAAGCTGACTAGGTCCGCCTCGTGTGGCTCCATATCGTAACTGTTCTCGGGTGCTATTGAACTGACATGCAGAACTTTGTCCTGCAGGAATTTACGCTCTTTAAGTACTTGACATTCGCAGACCGCCCCTATGACTTAGATCGACACTGCACGAGACAAGTATCATGCAGATGACTATTGAGAAAGAACCCACGCCACCAACTCGTATTATATAGATCTAGCCTAAGCCATACTATTTTGAGCCCACGCTGTCATCACAGAGCTTTGAAGCAGCTGCATGCGCTAATTCACCCACAGATGCGCCACTGAGAATTAAAATAACCCCGATATCGACCGTCAATTCTTTCTTAAACCATTGACTTAGTCCAACAGCGATAAGCGAGTCGACCCCAAGCTCTGGAATCAGCGTGTCCGGGGAGAGTGGTGCATCTTCTGTCAAATTCAAGCTGGTCCGCATTTTCTCCATGAGACAGCTCACGATTGTCTCGGACTTTTCCTCCAAACTCGTCGCCGCAGCCACAAGGTCCTTGGTCGACAGGGTCTCAAGCGATGAAGGCTGATCCTGACTCGCTGCGGCCGTGTAGGAGTAGAATGGCCACAGTTTTGGCACTGGACACGCCATACAACCATTCTGCAAGCTCTGGTGTCGAAGGCCCGCGATGAACTCAGCGTTGTAAGTGGAATCTGAACGCTCGCAGAGAATCGCTTCGGCGAGTATCTCATCGATGTCCCGCTGAGATACAGTCACTGGACCATACCAAGGGGGCTGATTGAGAAAAGAACTGTCAATGCCGTGGACCCCATTCAGATATACTATGCTCGCCGGCCTGCCCTGGCTCCGACGGTGGCGGACCAGCGAGGCCATTTTCTCAGACATAGCCGCAGTCATTGCCTGGTCCGCGTGGCCTAACACTCCTGCAATAGATCCGATGAGCACCCAAAAGTCCAGGGTTGGGGTCTTGTGGAGCTCATCTAGCTGCTGCAAACCTCTCAAAACCGGATGTAGATGGTTCTGGAGTAGATCCGCGGTGAGCTGGGACAAGGAGCAGTCGGGTAGAGGCGGGGGTTGAATTAGAACTCCTCCCACTACGGGGGGAAACGCATGAGGAATATTCTGATGCAAACCGGTGACGGAAATGCGGTCGCTCAGGTTTCTGGCATCGATTAGCTTATGTAGATGAAAATACCTGGGTGTGCCACTTACATTTTTGAGACCGCTATGCGCGTTCCCCGTCGAGAAACCTCTTCCATCCACCACGCATCTGGCTCCGGACTGAAGCTAGCAAGAAGAATCCATTGTGCCCCATGTGCTGCCAGCCAGAGACAAGCAATATGGGCTAGTTTGCTGGCTAGGCCTACGAGTATGTAAGTTTTCTTCTCCGAGAGCTGCACTTGGGAACTGGCAGTCGGTATCTGGGCGAGCACTGGGGTCGGAGAGTTCCAATCCACAACGACTTCTTGGGAATCGATGGTGGGGTGCTCAGCAACACTGCCAATTGGCACCGAACCCACTGAACTCGGTGGGAGCGCCTTGCGGCCGGTGTACGCCACTAAGCAGGCGGTTAGGAAGGCCTTGGCTATGAGTGACGAATCATCCCCATTGATCGGCCCTATTGACGCAGAGGCACGATAGAAATCCTCCACATGGATTCGTGCCGCGTTCTCAGGGAAGAGCGATAGCATACGCTCATATACATCCTGTCCACGGCGATGCAGGACCGCTATGGCCGACACATCCGAGGGAAGTACTTGAGACAATTGCCGCGCAGTGCTATGCTCGTGCAGGAGCAGCATCGGTCTCTTTTTGTCCGGGTTGCTTGTGCTGGTGCTGAAAACGACTTTGCCATCACGCCGGGTCAGCATTTGGTGGAAAATAGACTGGAGGACCCGGTCAGCCTCGTGCACCACAAGTGTCCCCGATTGTGGGACTTGTTCGACTAGGTATCCCGCCAACAGAGCAGCTGCTGTGGCGCGTAAATAAGACTGCTCGTGGGCTTCCAACACTGTGTCTGGCACTGACCACGCCCAGGAGTCCGGGACGATGACCTGAGATGCAATGTGGGACGACAGAGCGATCATCCTCTTGTTGCTTCTAATGTCCCGCCCTATGACCAGCCGCAGGAATATGGCCCCTGCTACCCGCACGGCGGCGAGACTGGAATATCGTACTCGCAGACAAAGAGTCGGTCCGTAGCTTGTGGTTACCGGCGGATCAGCCATCGAGAGAAGGCGGAACCCTTCACAATTTCTATCAGCCGTAGCAGGAAGAACCTGTACTACTCCCTTGCCGAGGTCCACACAGTCTGTCACTCTCTGGCGCCTGGCTAGATGGCGCAGCCCAGTAGACTGGTCATGGTATTGACGAGGAATACGGAACATGGAGCCGTCATATTGAATTTCGGGCTCAATGCAGTCCAGCCCGCACGAACCAGGGCATTCTTGAGCTGCACTGGCTCGAACAAAGCGCTCAAGAGCGGTTGCCAAAATTTCCGCTGACACCCCAGCCGGATCTGTGATCTGTAGCAGCTGCAGCTGATAGGAGGAGGTTTCAGAGGACAGAACGCTGCGAATGAGACCTTTCGCCAGTCCTGCATCAGGGTGATCGATCTCCTCACAGGTCACCAATAACATCCGCTTACTGACTGTGATCAGTCTCTGCAGCTCGCTCAGGCTAGCATCGGTCAGATCTCGATCATCGACGAGGTACAGAACAGTCAGCTCAGACAGAACCTCGTCCTCAATTAGATCTAGGGATGGTGCA